GAAATATTCAAGTATAATTTGCAAAGCAAACTTATAATTTATTAAATAATCGGTGAATTTAGATTAGGTAATTGGATTAATTGTCGAGGTATATCTGATATTCGGATTAATGGAAATTGCTGATAAATATGTCATTTGGAAATAACGTAAAAAGCCAAACATGGCTTATCTAAATAAATCTATAAATTTAATTACAAATCAAACCGTCATCCACTCGTCATGTTTTTTTCCCAATTATTGCAAGGTTTCGCGAATTTCATTAACCGCTGTCGAAGGAACCACTCTTTTCCCATAATTCCCCCCGAGCGATTCAAAGCCAGACTCGATCCGGGAAGACGATATCCGCGCCCTTCCGGATCCGTTCATCGTCGCTTCGCCGACCCTTTGACGCCTCTTTCGACGTCGCGACGCCAGCCATTAAATCCCCATAGAAAGCTCCCCAATCCCCGTTCTTCCCCTTGTCGCCTTTTGGGATGAACATTCGGGGTGAACAACCTCTGCTTTAATCCCCGTGCATTTCGCACAGCCGGAGATTCCATGAAACGCCCTTATTATCCCGCTTTTCCCTTTCTACCGCGGGAAAGCGCAATTTCGTAGCTTAGACCCCCTTTCAATTCGAAACGCTTCGCGAAATTGTCTCGTCTCATATCTATGATTCATATAATTTGTAGTAATTTATAATATTATAATGAAGATGAAAAGAGACGAGAGATTTGTCGCGATTCGAAGCGTACCTGAAAATTCGCGGACACCCCGTATGCGTGCGAATAACGGCTCTCGTTTGCTTGCGCACCTTGATCTCTTCTGCGCTCGATGCCAAGTGGCACACCTATATTTGCGTGCAAAACGCGAGAGATGAAATCGTTGCCTTGAATTCTTTTGATTCTTTTTCAAAACTGTGTACAATTCGCGGTGAAATTTTGCGCTAAATTCGGTAATTGTAATTCATATAAATTCCATCTGATTTAATTAAATCACACGAAATTTGCACAATTTTCTCATATTGCAAATTTATAATGCCGCGAAACGCGAGATCCGTTCTTCTAAAATAGTGAAATTAGGCGATTCAATCCGTTATACTATCTAATGTTTCCCGTGCGACTTTTGCAATGGTTCAACCGACACATACATTAAGTTTTATCGCGTTGTTCACTATATTTTATAGATTTAATTACATTCGCGAGAACTGTGAAATGTTTGGTACAAGGATTATCAATGATCGATTGCACAAATATCTATTATAAATTATTTCTCTCTTCTCTTGTTTCGGATTATCTATATATTTTCGATGTCGTGCACATTGTTGAATATTCCGAATGGCTATAATTCTCATCGCACGGGAATAGTTCGAAATATATTATTTAGTTTGAATGTAATTTTCAAATATAATTAATTCTAGGTCAAAACTTTCGCAATTATATTATAAAATAAAAAGAGAAAAACACTGATATTATATTTAAGAAAAGAACTAGAGGGGGAAGTCTTTCCAAAAGGAGATATTCTAAACATAAAATGCTTTAAAAATTTTTTATCAAATTTGCGCCAATAGAATAATCGCATTAGCGGTATTTTACTGTTAAAATTTCCAAGTAAAAATTGCAGTCATTTTGATCGCCGATTCTAATCGGAAAAGATTTTTGAATTTGAACTTTAAAATAACGCAAAATTAAAAGAAATTGATTGACTTCAAATAGTTGGAAATATGATATATTCGAGAAATATTTTATAAATAAGTCAGAAAGAGAGACATATAATAAAATTATTTTTATACATATTTATTCGTGTGTGTAAGTAAGATAACGAAGATAAATCTGAAAAAAGAAGAATTTATTAAAATCAATTTACATTGCAACATCCTTTGACGGATGCTCAAGACTCATTGAAATCGCTGACGATGGCAATCGATTGACCATCCGCATTCCGATCGCGAAAGCCGAGAAACTGGAAACATGATTGCGCAAGGAAAATAAGGAACAAGTCGAATCTTAATCGAATTGCGCGACACATGTCGCGACTTGGTTATCGATACGTATCTCGCAAAGTCGACCTGTTCGCGTGCACGAATCTGCGACGATGAATTCGCGCAAATCACTGGCATCCCGGATACGTCGTCACGCATTCCGCCGATCTCCGCAGTCACATACCTATCCGATTGTCCATGGCCAGTCAGTATATAATACAATATTACCCAGAGAGCGTCCTCGCGAGTTCGAGTTTCACGGACTGAATTGAAAAGTTTACGAAGAAACTTGGCGCGTCTGATAAAAAAGAAAAAATGTTACATGGTATGTACATAAATATTGCCGAAGGAATATCTAGATATAAGAATACACACGATGCAAAATTTGAAATATAACGTTCGTCCAATATTCATATGTAAAAAATATTAAATTAATCGTTGCTACAAGATAGCTCCATCAAAGTGTGTTAAAATAAAATTGCGATAATAATAATTTTAAAGAGAACTATAATTCGCGGAGTATCATGGAACAAAACTACAAGAGAACAATCAGTTATAATTTCTCCAAAGTCCACGGATTTTCTCGTTTACTCGTTGATTATTTTCACAGACACTCTCTTCCGAAATCCTTCATCGTTCTAACGCTTTTCTCGTTAATAAAGTTATTACATTACGTAATATTTGATGCATAATAAGAGCCTCATTTCAACTTTATTGCTCATGAATTTCTCAATTGCATAGCCGAGATCGTGACAGGTAAGATGGCAAACTCTATAAATATCGTACCGAGATTTATTTTCGAGAACTCATAAATGAAGGGAATCATCTTTGATTTAAAACGAACGCAAGAATTATATATTGTGTATAACGCATCAGGATGCATTATATATTTAAAAACTTTCACATATTTCTGCTTCTGCGTAAACTAGATTAAAAGTTTGCGCTTCGACAAATATAAAAAGACTGTATTTTAATTAAAACATGATTCAATCGACAGAATGAAATTTCAACGAACGCGATGTCTTTATCACGTACACGTACGGATGAGAAGAGGAGAGAGAGAGAGAGAGGGTGAGAGGCTGCGCGTTATCGCGGTCCATACATTTTGCAGATTGAATACCGCCTATTATGCGTAAAGTACGAGAGAGGAGTTCCCTGCTGCGCCCATATGGCATCGCGCCGAGTCGTTTGCATTCCCAACGACAGTTTGAGCGTGAATGCCAGTTTAAGCGTGAACAATCGCAAAGCCGCACGACAGATATTACGATTCCGATCGACGGAAAACGCGATAAACGCGGATGTAGCGCGTCGCGAATCTCTTCGCGGGGTGATTCCCGATCCGCATTCCGCATCGATCCAATTCCGGGCGATTGCCGCCGATTTTCATCCACGATCGACGATCGACTTGCCACCGTTTGATTTCCAGCATCTATTCCGGAAAACCTGTTCGCGCAAACATCTCGTTAGACACCTGCCCGTTACGAGGCGACGTGAGAGAAAAAAGGGAATCGCAACCGGCTCGATGCGTAACGTGGAGCCTGTCTCTAGCGTAAGCGCAATCCCGAGCTTTGCGTAACCGCGCTGGCCTGCTTTCGAACGTTGACTTAATTGCGCCCGATAAATTGTCCTTTCCTTCCCTTCCCCTCGCTCCGTCTCGTCGGCCTGTTTTCAAACGCGATGGTTCACCATCGCTCCCAAGCATTGTGCGCTTCCGTTCTATCTCCCGTTCTGTCTATTCTGCTCCCCATATACTATTCCCATAACGGATCCGGCAATTGATCCGGAGGAATCTGCTAGCGTGAGACTCGATTGAATTTGGACGTAGAATAAAGATTATTTCGTACATTTAGATTTATTTTGTTTCGGACTAAAAACTGAAAAATATAAAGTTGAGATAAAATTCTTAAAAATTATATAAAATTTACTATATAAAATTTACGGAGTAATATTGCGAAGAAGCAAATATCAAAATTAAATTTTTTTTATTAAATTATTTTTATAGATATTGACAAGTTTTAAAATTTTTTTTATCGCGATGCAAAGAGTCATTATTTTAGAAATAGTCCATGTGAATTCAATTTGATACTAACTGTACTCTGTGCGAATCTCTCAGTGCATTTGATTCGACTCGAGCTTAAATAATCGTAAAATCTTAACGAAGCGTACATATCGTTAACTCGTAACGGCTGATTCGCCAAGAGCGAACTACGATCTACGAAAGACTCTTATTCGATCCAATATCCATTTTGATCTCTCATATATTTTTCCAATCCTTTCTGTTCAAGCGAGACAAACAGAATTTCCTGAACAGACTCGATTACCGATTCGTCGCGATCTAGAAAACGCTTATGCTCTTGGCATGCGTAAAGTTCAATTATTATAAGTATAACTTATATAAAAATTTACAATTTTTAAGAATTAAGAAGACTTGGAAAAATTGCATTAAATATACAGGATGTTCCTAAATTCGCGATAAATATTTTAATGACAGATTCTTTGTAACATTTTAAGACGAAAATTCTAATACGAAAATGTCGAGGCTTTTAATAGTTTTCAAATGGAAAAAGTTTAACGATCACGATTTTTAATGAAATTCTTGAATATTTTCACAATAATTTCACCAATATCAAAAGCATTCGATTCATGGAAGCATCTTTACTATTAGCCATTTTGCCACCCCTGAGCGAAACTAGTCCTGTCATTCGTGATCTTTAAACTTTTCCCATTTGAAAACTATTACAGCTTCGACATTTTCATGTTAGAATTTTCGTCTTAAAGTGTTACAAAGATTTTGATTAAAATATTTATCGCGAATTTAGCAACACCCTACATAAGCAAGTCGACAAATATACAATTTTATATTAATCTATGACTTTTTTAAGAAATTGCAGATAAAAATACATACATGTGAATAATTGAATCGCCACACGTTTTAATATTATCTCATGACTATAAATTTACACACTTCCACGTGTCTTTGAAGAAAAGATGTAGAATTGAAGACGCGATTTTCGCAAGCGTGAACATTTTTTTCTCGCAGCGTCCGGCTCGGGGTCCGTGATAGGAAGAGATCCACTTCCGCCTAGGGCCGTCAGCACGTCTCATCTGCCTCAAAGAACGTTGACTCAACCACCGACGGCGGTGTCCACTCTTCCGTTACCGAGAAGCAACGCCGGTAGCGGACATCGGCAACTGCCGCTTCCGCTCCATCGCTCGAATCCACAGCAGCAACCATCTATGAGGCAGCTGGATAGCGAGACCTCCGCCCAGATGCTGAGGGCCGTCAGCAACGGCGACATCGTCAAGGGTCCCGGCATGTAAGTAGACGCAACCTTCCCTCTTTATCGGTATTTGTACGGCAAAGTTTCGGGACGCGCCATAATTAAACCGCTACTCCTGTCAAGCTCTGTAATAAGGAAACTTATTAGCGGAGACCAGTCTGTCTAGTTGTGTTTCGCGAGTCGCTCGGTTTAGCTACTTTGAGAGATGGTGAGTAGGAATATTACGGGACAAGAAGCAGTTAAATGTCGATACTTTGTAGATGTTGCACTGAGAAAAATCGTTTGATTGTACAACAAGACGTATATGATTGAAGGCATTTTGATTAAATCAAACAAGAATTTCTAGTTATCATGATAAGACTCGATTTTTTATAACTAGAACGTTTAATAGATTTTACTATAAGGATTTTGTTAGTATTTCTGGTTGGATCTATAAAATTTCTTGTTACATTAATTTCTTTGCTTGCCACTCTCAACTTAACTCGTTCAATATTTGCCATGAAATGTATATAAAGAACTAGTATTCACATTAAATCCAAAGTATATTTTTTTTTTCTTTTACGAGCAGTAGTGACAGGAAGAGGACGCTAGCTCTCTGATTGTGTGTGTTTGAGCTGTGTGTTTCCTCTTCTTGCATCACTGTTTATCAGTTTAATTTCTAACTGAATTTAAAATAATTTATTCAATAATATGGATTGAATTTATCCAATAATCTTGTTAGAATTCAAAATATTAAACAGACTTTTGAGATTAAATGGAAAACATTTTAAACGACTTGGTGCTCGTGAGTATTATTAACCAGAAAATTTGGTAAATTTAACAGGAAGAAATTAATCAGATTTATCTGGTAATTCCTACAAGAATTCTGAGTCGTCCATTTTCCAACAGACATACTGGCTGAATCTACCAGACTTGTAATTAATGCAACCAGATTATTTTCTCAGTGTGGATTTGAAAAAATTTGGCTAAACATGATTCTAGTATCGCGTAATCACACGTTGAAGATATTTCAGCCTCTCACATTTATCCTGTTTTTAATGGCACAAACTGTTATAAAATCGCTTGGCTAATACGTTGAAATGTGAAAAAGAGTTAATCGCCGTAAAAGTCCATAGTGCATGCTTTCATCTAAATGATTAGCTCTCTTTCTCTATCTACCTTATTTAACTGTAACTCATTATCTTGCGTTTATGTAGTCGTTGTTTAATTACCCGCTGTTATTTGCGCAAATAACAATGCGTCGTAATTTTAGTATGAAATGCACAATCTATTAAAATTTCCGGTATGTTCTTGACAACTGATGGAACCAAATAGCCGAGCTTATGTAATATGCAATTGTACCAATTAAAGCTAACTCGCGCGAAGGACAGTGCGATCTCGTAATCGAAACCATTCTCAAGGTTGCTCTATTATTATGTTTGTCAATTAAACCATATTATCTTAATTTTATTTTCATTCATAACTTTTCCGCAATTAGCTTGTCAAGTTTTTAAAATATTACAACGACGTATGCGTTAGAAAATAATACTCTTGAGATGAGAATCGCGAAATATGAATTCGGAAATTTTCAATATCTATTTGACGTTACTCGATAACTCTGAATTAGCGACGGTTCGCAGAAAAAGTTTAAGCTTCCCAGGGCATGATTTGGGAGCCACTATCTCACAAAGCGCCCTTTCTCAATTTTAAGAACTTAATCCTCTTTCTCTTAATCCTTATATTTTTTTCGGGAACGTTTTATTTCATTTCGAGCGGTCTTCCACGAATCGATTCACATTGACCTGCTCGTCAAATTTCAGGGTTACCGGGAACGAGATGAGAGACCTGAGGTTAGCGTCACCGAGCGGTCATTCCACTCAACGAATGATCAGTCCGGTCGGGCACTTGCGGGTCGCTTCGTTAAACGATCACCGCGTCTCCAGTCCCAGCGATAGCGAAATACACGTGCACAGCCCAAGTAAGTTCTCCTCTCCGTTTTTGTGACAGAGAATCTGTAATTTATTTGTACCGTCCTCCGATACTTTCCCGATTTTCATAGAGAATCTCTCTCCCTATGGACCAGCGAAGCTATTAATCGCCTGTGGCAACTTTGTCGATCTGGGAAATCCGGCTTTATGAAAGAGAAACTTTAGCTTTTCTCGCGGACTCGAAGATAGTTAAGGCGCAATTAATATATTGTTGGTAATACGAGTTAGAATAACTTTTGCGATGGCAAATTTATCGGAAAATAGTTGGAATATCATCCGCAAGTGAATTGTCTTACGTATTGTCTAAAGTACGTAAAAATGTATCGTTAATAAACATTAATTAATAATGTTGGTAGGAAATAATGTCGGAGCATACAATGTCTATATTGTGCACGAAATGATGATCAAGATACAAGATACTTTATGTTATGCGGAATTAATAGCTTTCTAGCGCGCTAATTAATCAAAATTTTTCAAGGTATTCAAGGTATTGAAGGTATTCTTTCTACAATTTTTCAAATAATAATTCTTTTCCTTCTTCAGTATAAATTTATGGAATGCATATATCGGAAAAATGTTACAATGATCGTCGATGAGCTTCTTTCGAAAGTAAACTTCTACTCAATAATACTCATAAATGGAATTTAAAAAAATATAATATGAATAATTGATAAAACTAATTTTACTTTGCTACATCTTTTTAGTTACAATGGCAAATACTCATTTCTGAATATTCAAAGTTGAACTAATCCGATTTGTCTGGAACATTCAGTGCAAGCAAACTTAAGAGTGATGAACAGAGCCTCGCTTTCAGATGTGAACGATTAACACTCACGAGATTAAGCGGCGATTTAGCATCTGCTCTGAATCGCGAAATTGCCGAACTGTCTAAAAAGGATATAAATTTAGCTTGAGAATTTTAGCGAACGGTCGAGTTAATTATTCGAGGATCCCTTGTGCAGCATTGTTTCGGTAAAATGTATATACCATTCGCTGTCTAATGCATAACGCGAAATAATGGAAATCCCATGTACTTTCGATGCTCTATCCGACTACGCCAAGATAGGTATAATCGATATCAGCTTCGATAAAACATACAGACTGAGATTATGTAATATTACATGAATATCACGTAACATCTGCCCAAAAGCAAAAATTCGTAATTCTCCCTGTAGCATCCCCGTTTCTAAAACGCGAGATGGATATTTTAAATAAATTTGACTCGTATAATTTTAATTAAATTTTTTTTCTGGGAAATTTAATTTCTGGGAAAGCTAAATCCAAGAAATTGTAATATTTTGGCACCGATGGTACGACGTAATATTAAGAAAATTGTAAAAATAACTTTAGCGCGTGAGAGCACAGATGTGGAGGATAGCTCTTGGCAAATGCTATCCTCAAGAGGAAATGTCTCTCTCTTGCAACGTAAATGCCATGGTTCACCAAGAATTTTCTCGGTATGTCGTAGAATTCAATTGTACATGTACAATAGTTGTGCGCAATATTCTGCGTTAGACAAAAGTCTGTGCTTTTCCATTTTACAATGTGCAATGACTGCGGAATATTTTTGCAGGCATACGATTTAGAGCATTTCAGATCCATCGCCGTTTAATCTAGCCATGACTCGCCGGACTTTCCGAACAAAAATATATAATGATTGTTTCAAAACTCAATAATTCTTTGAAATCAAAAAATAACAAGTTAGCTTTAATTATTTTTTTTTTTGCATACAATCTCTCGTTTTTCCGGTGTAATTTTCAGCAAAAGTTAGCCTATAATTTTTATCTTTACAATCGCCAAAGAGTTAGAATGTTAATTCGAAAAGAAAATAAAGTTTCACAGTTTTGAAACTTGTGGCTGAAAATGCTCTATAATGTCTGCAAAATCTCGAATATATAACGAATATAATGAGAGAGGAAATTGTTCCGGCAGTTCTGACGCTTTGAAGCTCGAGTACAAACGACTATCATCGTGATTAAGGAGAAAGTCAATTTGCTCGTTCGTTATTACAATTTTTTCGCTCGAGTCCAAGCCCGCGAGCAGAGGGAAAGAAATTCTTAGAAATATCAACAATTCCTACAGTTCTGGCCGCGTATATCCTTTCGCTCGTTACGAAACTCTCAGAAATACGCGACTTCCTCCGAGCTTCGTTTCCTGCGAACGGCTTTCTCTGACGCAAGAAACATCGTATCTCGAGGAGGATCGTAACTTTAATCTTTCTTTCTATTCGCAGGCGAAAGAAAAATGATGAGCTCGATCGGCAGGGAAGTCGATCGAGGAGGTACAACGACGGCGACGAGTCAGAGACAAAATCAGCAGCAACGGATGCGCGCGGATTGCAACGAACTGCTGCATAAAAGGGTGAGCGAACATGAGTTGTCTTTATTTATTAACGCCTTGGCGCGAGGCCCATTTGCGATTCGATTGGCATGGCAGAAAGCATGGATGGATGGAGAGAGGAGATTCGCGCATTTCACATTCGCGGCATCGATCGTGCAACCATCGCGCGCGAGAATTATGATCGGTCACCGCAGACTGTAAATTTATAACCGGAGAGAATCGGTTTCGTAATAAAAGTATCGTACGTGTTTAGCGATAGCGCACTCGCGATTTAATTTTACAAGAAAATCCACGGCCTGCTTCTCGCAAGCAGATTTGCGCACTGAGAAAAATTTGATTGTACCAACAAGACGTGATAGAAGGCATTTTGCTTAAACCAAGAATTTCTAGTTATCATGATAAGACTCGATTTTTACAACTGAAACGTTTAATAGATTTTATTACAAGGATTTGGTTAATATTTTCTAGTTGGATCTATACAACTTTTTGTTATGTTAATTAAACAGGATAGAGTGATGCCATTTTTTTGTAAATTTGCTATTATTACCACGAAAATTTAGTAAATTTAACAGGAAAAAATTAATCATACTCATTTGATAATTCCTAAAATTTTAATTCGCCCATTTTCCAACAAACATATTGGTTGAATCTATCAGATTTCTAATTAATATAACCAGATTTTTTTCTCAGTGTAGTTATCATGATAAGACTTTTTATAACTAGAACGTTTAATAGATTTTACTCTAAGGATTTGATTAATATTTTCTAATTGATTAATATTTTCTATTTGATTAATATTTTCTAATTGAATCTATAAAACTTTTTGCTATATCAAGTAAATATAGACACAGTGATGCTATTTTTTTGTAAATTTAATATTATTATCAGGAAAATTTAGTAAATTTAACAGGAAAAAATTAATCATAAAAATACTCATTTGGTAATTCCTAAAATTCTGATTCGCCCATTTTTTAACAAACATATTGGTTGAATCTACCAGATTTCTAATTAATATAACCAGATTTTTTTCTGAGTGCGAACCTAGGCTGACGTTCTCGCGCGATATCTCTTCTTCCAACTCTCGTCTCTCGAAAAATACATTATGTATGCGTTATAATTAGTTTGCGCGATGCAAAAAACTCGTAAAAACCTCCTGATTTGTACAATATAATGCCAGAGTATGCATATTGTCGCGTTCCGAGGTCGAATTACTGGGATCGAACGGCGAATTCTCCCGCAGATTGTTGCACGATCGACCGTTTGTCGTTTTGCTGCTTTATCTATAATTGTCTCTTTTGTCCCTGTCACGCAACATACACACATGTCTGTTTTATTGACGCGGCGTAGCCTGCATATTATCATCGCAGCATGTAAATTCCATTAGCTCAATTAATTAAAATGTTGCCGAGAAAGAGAGAGATAAAGAGAGAGAGATGGAATATAACACTTTCATATTATACACACGAGCCGTACATACGTATTCGACGTCAATGTGATATCGATAATATCGGATCGCGTACAATAAATTCGCGAAACAAATTTCCATTCAAATGCTTTGACTCTTCAAAGCGGAAAATATTTCTGGCAAACTACGGTCGATGAGTATCTCATAATTTATGAATAAAATCGTTATTAAGTTGCGTCATATACATATATTCGAGCGTGAATGCATATGGTTCATGATTATCATTTCATTATTATGCGAAATAGATTACGATTGTGGGATAAATAAATACACAATTTGGAACCCAAGCGAAACTCTAACGAGGTTTTCTTCATTTATTCTCGCGATCGCACCTAAAATAGCGATGAATGTAATGGAGCTATGCAATTAAAGCCCCACGCGCGTGGATCTTTGACTTCTCGCAATCGCTTCTTTAGTATGCAACAAGTATAACGTCGAACGATCGTAAAATTCTAAGCACGGCTCGAGGAGTTTGCGCTACAAACAATCCTGTTAGACAGCATTCTTCGAAGACGATTTCATCGCGAATACTCAACTGTGATCAAGAGTCGGATTTTTCATTTCGCGGACGAAAATTTGGAGGAAAACTTGTTCGTTTTTTTAACACGAATTAAGAAGAATTTATCTGAAACGCGCGGTATACGAGGAGGCAAGAAAGTAGCGATTCAAGTGTCGTCGTCCTGGCGCCATTACGTACAATAGACAGCGAAGGGTGAAGGGCGGCAAGAGAGGACCAGGACGAAGAGGGAGTGAACGAGAGAGAGAGAGAGAGGGGGGGGGAGAGAGAGAGAGAAAGGGAGAGAGAGAAGAAGCGAAAAGAGGAATGGAGAGACGATGGAGAAAAAGAGAAACACAGGGTCCAGGGTCGATCCTGCATACGGTCAGCACCGGTCAGCAAGGGCACCATGCCAAGAAATTGCAAACGGACCTTAAGCTTCATACACACTGGATCTCTCTATTTATTTTAGACGGCGTAGCCTTCATTCTTTTATATATATTAATTAAACTTTTTATTTATCTCTTATTGCGCGCGTAAAAAAATAGCTTCGATGTTACAATAAGATATTCGTGAAATGTGTTAATTATCATGTGCAAGATGAAAAATTCAATGTGAAGCGAAACAAGCCGTTGTTGTCACGAACTGTTACATCTCAGCTCGATCTTCAGTTTTTAACAACAGCAGAAATAAATAGAACGAGCTGGAAGATTCAATTTATTCGCGTCTCGAGTTTCAAATCTTAATCTTTATCGACCAACCGCATTCTGGCGCTCGTATTACTCCTAAAAATACGACTTGTCTCTCGTAAAACGTTGTTTCTTCTCATCCACAATCCATCTTGGACCGCTGGTCGTCTTCGTAAACCAATACCCTGGCTCTTGCGAACCGCGTAATATTCCCGCAGGACGTATGATATTCATTACCGCATGAATCTGGATTCGCGGATCCTCGTCGTCGTCCTGGTGAAACGTCGATAGAGGAAAACGCCCGCGAATAAAAGCGTCGCAGCGAGCTGGAAAGACGCAGGGAGAGAAGAAGAAGAAGAGGCAGCGGCAGCAGCTCGGAACTTTTGTCGGCGAGCATACCGCGTGTGGTCGAGGGGCGGTCGGGGCCCTTCGGGGGGCAAAAGGTACAAAACATGAAGCCTCGGACGAACCCGGCAAGGCGGCGATGCACACACTATGCAGCCGGCCGGTCGGCGAAGCCGATCGGACCCGGGCACGACGCCAGTCTGTCCGAGTCCTCCTCGCGCTCCTCCGCGACGCTCGACCCGCGCCATCCCGCTCGTCTCTTCGACGCGATACGCGAGCTTGCGGTGGAAATTTCTTCATTTTCTACGCAAACTGGAGCATCCCCCCCCCCCGCATCCTCCTCTTCGCCCTCTTGGCTGTTGAGACCGACGCTGGGACTTCCACGGGATCAGGTAAAACGTTAGGTGGAATGGAACGGAATGGAATGAGAAGGCTTGAGACGCGAGACGACCGCTTGCTTGCGTGGGTGAGATGCGATGTCTAGTAGCCGATCCATATATTTACTTGAAATTGAAGAATTTAGATTAAAGGAAGAATTTAGATTAAAAGAATGAATATTTGCGCGGAGGAGACTTTGCGTGTTTTTAATATAAATATCTAAAGTCATGAAGTATCATATATGAATCTTTTTTATTAATCTTGCAGATTAATAAAATATTTTTCAACTTGTACGAATACTTTCGAAGTGAAACGAATTTTTCAACTTGGACGAATACTTTCGAGATGAAACAAATTTTTTTGCATCGACGTCATAAAGAGAGAAATATATCTGTTATTAACAAAGTTATATTTATATTTGATATCTTTTAATAGTTCTTAATTAAAAGTGTAAAAAATAAAAATCTATCGATATTAATACGAGATATGTATGTGTGATTCGGATGTATTAAAAATTTTAATTTTTATTTAAAAAATTTCTCTGAATAAAAGATTATTCTTCTAAGCAAGGGTGAGCGAGCCTTTCCTTCTTGATGCGATTGTCGTGCGGACATGTTGATGTATTTTAGTGCGAGGTGGAAACGGATTCCGGATTCGCTGAGCGATCGTTTTTCGCAAGGGAATGCTCCCGATCTCGCAGGAATCTTGCGAATACAGATCAAGATTGTACGATCTCGAGGATAGCGCAAAGATTGACGGAGATTCCGGCAGGAATGCGAGAAGCGGATGAGTTACTCTGTAGAATCTGTCTATTAAAATAAGGAAAGCGTATTTTCGTTTGTGCGAAGAAATATATCGATGCTTCGGATTGCTTCGAATTTCATTCGTGCACCGTTCGCCGAATGAAATCTGCCATTTCCTTTGCCGCAACATTACGTGCATCGAGCCTTAGCATGACCTGTATCTGTTCGCGTTTGTCTGTATTGGTAGGTCGGTGAGAATTTTTACGTCGTCTTCGGCTCGTCCTCTTGGTAAGAGAGTCTCGTATTAGAAAATTGGAAAGTAATAGAAAACTATGCGGCGTACGCCTCGTTTTTTTTCCAATTTTCTATGACTTTTAAAAATCGTTGCGACGCAAAAAAAGAATTGGCGCACGAGAAATATAATCAATTTCGTCAATTTGGCTCGAAGCTTTAAAACGGAATGTAAATATAGTCGTCGCAATCGTATTTTTGGAACATATTTTTCAACCGTTATTTTTGAACCAAATATTCAAAAATGTAAGAGAAGAAGAATTATTATAAAAATAGTTATCGTTTGATTTAGATTCTTATACAATACGACGATATCCATGGTGTAATTTTAAACTAAAAAAAAAATACTTTTATATAAGAAATATTCTTTCTTGTAGTTTAAATTAAATCTTCGGATTTTATCAATAATTGGCGAAATATTGTCGTGGAATATAAATAACATTGTTTAACGCAGATGAATATTCGGCTGAATGAGCAGTTATTTATAAATTGATAGCGTGTATATTTATTATTATTATTATTATTATTATTATTATTATTATTATTATTATTTAATCATTATTATATCTCATATAATACTCAAATGATAAAAAACTGCTTCGATATCAATTATTGTTTCAACAATGTTTATATATAGCGTTCCATTTTACATCTCATCAAGGCTTTCAGCCGTATTATACGAGGTCGAGTATATTCTCTCGCTTCTCCTCTTAGACTACCGCAAATCCAACCGTAGGAGCAATTAAAATGTAGCGATTTTGGAATACGCGGAGTAATGAATGCAAAATTCAGACAAATAGATCGATTAAATGGCAATCTTTATCCTGCGTTCTCAGCGAGCTGTTCTTCGCAGTGAAAAATTATTTAGAGACTCTCATAGACATAACTGAGATAAAACCGCCAGCAGAAATTTCAATATAGAGTATCTAATTCGGGCTCATCGCGGATTCACTATTTTCTGCATTTATGTGGAATTTGTTGCACGCAAAAGCTAATTTCCATAGTTTTATCAGTTTCGGTTCGCGAAACCGGATGGTCGAATATATGTGTATCTCGTGTAACGCTCGTAATTTTTAATTTCTCTCTGTACTCCATTCTCGGGCAATACAATTTAGTAGATATTGTATCATAAATTGTCATAATAACATTGATTTCCGACAGGTAGAAAATATATATCAATGGTAAAATAGAGAGATATATTGTGCATATTCTGAAAGATCTCATTGAATCGAATAATTTAGAATTTAGAACATTAGTTTTAACCGTATAACATCTTATTGCTGTGAGTTTGTATTGATGCGGCTATTGTGGTGTTAATATATATTAATTTGCGCTGTTGATAATAACATTTTCTCCTCCATCATGCCAATCAAATCTGCATGTTCATATATTCCGCGAATAATAATCGCGATCAGAGTAATCTCCCAGTCGTTTCTCTTTGGAATTTTTTTTCTTTTTAGTTAATTAATTAACGCGTCCGGCGAAGTTCCTCGAGAAATTCTCAGTCACGATATCAATGTAACGCAATTCCCTGTGTAACAGTTTGATTACCTGCGCGATTGTTTGCGCGTGTGGCTAACAGACAATTGCATGCCTCGACAGAGCAACGCCAACAGTTCCCTGAGAACGGACGTCGGCGGCAGGCAGGTGACACAGGCCGGTGCGTCCGGGTTGGTGCGCGTCTCCGCCGGTGAGCTTCTCGGCAGGACCCACGAGGAGCTGGTGCTGCTGCTGATCCAGTTGCGACGTCAGAACGCGACGGTCCTCAAGGCGATGGAGACGTGTCACATGGAAATCGAGGCGCAGGTCCGAAGAGAGAGCTTTATACGCGCAATCTCGCACGAAATTTTCACAGTAATTAGATGATCCATCCGGACGATGACAATGGTGAATCGTGGGGCCCGTTTAACCCGTCCGAGGACAGTGAGGATACGTCGGTTTCTCGAGCTCGAAAAACGCTGCTATTTAAATCACCGCTTTAATATTAAAGAGAAAGCTGATGATTCGCTTTGCGACAGACGACCGTGCAGTTTGACGAGATCTTTCAGGATGTGTTTGGATTAAATTGATACAAATTGGGAATTCACGTAACACAATGAGTGATCCCGTATGAGCGATCGATGTTATTTCTTTTATCGTCGACGTAATGTTCGCGCATGAATAACGAGGTTTAAACGAGGTTTACGTTTGAGAGATTAAATTCAAAAGGGATTAAATTTGATTACATTTTATTTGTGATTATTGAATAAAAAAGTGCGACACATTTGTTTCTATATTTGAATTGAGAAATTGCAAGTTTTTTTTTTACAACATAAAGAATACGATCGTTTGTGTAGTATCAGACGACCAGGCATTTAGTACGAGATGTGGAACGTAAATAAATACACGTTGTAATCCCGTAACGTGCGAGATTCGAGGAGAAAGTCGAGTCGAACTTGGGGTCGCCTTTCTACGCAACTATGTGTCCGTTGCATTATTATTTGGCTTGCAATGAATGTCACGGAGCGACTAGTCGCTTGGCAAAAACTTATGCGTTAATTAGCACGTGAGGAATGAAGAAGCTTTTAATCTAGTGTGATAAACGTTTCGTTTTGTTTGCATCGCAGGCTAGACTGGCGGAACTCGACACACCGAGACGATTGGAGAATCTTCAAAAACTCGAGGAACTCAAGAGACACCTAATGGATCTCGAAAAGCAGGTGAGATATGTTTATCACGTGAAATATGTACTTTGTATTTCTGGAAACTATTCATGGAATTCTTCACGATATAGATACGGAATAAAAGGCTCGACAATTTAAAGAGAAGATGCCGATAACTCGTTTTTCGAAAATTTAAGAAAATTATGTTAAGGAGTCAGATTAAAAAAAAAAATTAATTATATATTTCTGCTGTCAAATCTAATCCTTCAGATTGAATTTTTTGTCAATAATTATTACTTTATAATATTTGTTAATTCGGTTTCATATTTGATTAATATTATTTGTCTATAATTATTAATGCATTAAATCGATTTCTTATATATGTATTAATTATTAATACATTATATTTATTAATACATGTATAAGAATTCGATTAAAAAGATATAAAAGGAATACGTTAACTGTGTTTGATTTTTTTAAAACTTTTTAGTACGAGAAGAGCAAGCCTCTCGTGAATCTTGTGGATAATATGGTGAAATTGGGCTCTCTATATAATCGTAACACTGCCAACGGGATCAGCAATGTTTCTGGTTCTCGTCATGATCTCATGCACGAAAATACGAGGGATCATCGCGATCGTCTGGAATTTAATCAGAGAGTACAAGAGCAACGATTGTTGGCCGAGGAACGCAGAGATTGGGACAGATTGAGTCCCGATCATGGACAGTTACAGGTGTGTGATTAGTTAAGTTTAATTAAAACATGTTAGATGGATTTTTTATGTTACCTTGTGAGTTTAATTTACTCGAATTTATGCTACTGGAAAAATTATTGCTTATTTGAAGTTAAACAATTCTTATTTTTTGAATATTAAATATTAAATATTTTCTTTAAAAGTGTCGCGAATATTAAATATTTTCTTTAAAAGTGTCGTGAAAATATGCAATTTTATAATGAAAGAGTAAAAAAAATATTTTTAATTAATATTAGTTACCTTTTAAACTTTACACACCAGTTATTATTTATGAAATATGTTTGACATTTAACATGTAGTTGTTTAATATTTCATGTGTTCCACTTTCTATTTCATATTTTCTGTTATATTCTTGTCGCAAAGTGTGCTAAAAACCGCACTTATTATTAGCGTAACACGCATCGCGTTAGACATCTTCTTGACCAAAAGACAATTCTTTATCTCTCGCGTGTTATAAACTAACAATAAGTATATCCATAATGGACAGAAAAACTGATTGGAAGAAAAGCATACGTGCAAAAATTAAGAACCGACTTTCGCAGATAGAATCTCGTGAGACACGGAACTCGGACGACACCTTACGACTTCTCGTAAATTCTACGAAAAGCTCACTTTACCGCGGGATATATTCTCTAGGCGAATCTCGAGTCTCTACGGACAGTGTCCACTTATTGTTAGTATCTTACGTCTCGTTTCCTTCTATTACGTTGAAAGAGAATTTTTCCCCGAGAATTTTTGATATCTGCACGTGACTAAACTTGGACGAATAATAAAAAAAAATTTTATTAACATTTTTTATATAATACAACAAATTGCATATTTCTGTTGAATTTACTATTTAATTTTAATGTAATATAATTGCATATTTTCTTGCATTGTCTTTCTAGCAATTATTTTTTATGTCTCTTCAAAGATAAATTAGCTAAAGTTATAGATAAGTTAAAATTAAAGATTGTCAAAAAATATAAAATATTTGCAGATGCATTTATTTAAGGAAACAATATCTAAAAATTTTTTATATATTTTTTGACAATCGTTAATATAATTAATTAGCTTTGAAGAGATATAAAATAATCATTCAAAAATACAAGAAAATGTGTTATTTTAATCAATTAAAATTATTTTACTGATAAGGATATTGCTGCCGAATATAAGATTAAAATATCAGGTTTAGTGAAATGATCAAAAGGCAGAAAATATATTCCATACACGAAAGAGCCTCATTCATAGGCAAAGATAGAGACAAATACCGAGAGAACAGAAGTACGCGTTGTTCTAGGACTAGCAATGGCGGATCTCTCTTTTTCCGAGATTCGTTCCGATTGAAACGCTATACCTACGCCTACTTGTTCCTTGAACAACGAAACTTGAAGGCTTTGCTAGTTCATTTAGTACCCTTCCTATGTTGCAGGCCAAAGTGCAGCAGCTCTACAAACTCGATCGATTGCTTCAAGAGGAATCTGGTACGCTGCATAGTCTCCAACAAGACAAGGTTGATATTAACATCTACATTACAATAATGACCGGGACTTTAAAACTGCTTGAAAAATGTCAAGAATACTGTAGAACAATACAATTGATAAAGCTATTATGTCTAATTAATATAAAAATTCTGAGCTTTTTTCTCTTAAAAAAATTTATTCTGCGGCAGTCTTGAAGACAATTCTGTATCTCGAGTACTTTAAATTCAAAAAAAATTCCAATTATATTATCGTTTATCTGAATTATTGCATCTATAATTTAGAAGAATCGATGTATCATTATTCGCCTGAAATTGAAACGAATCATATGTTTTAGACGTAATGATAAACTGAAAGATGACATGAATTGTCCTAATATCGAAACATAGAAATCATATTAGATACATGACTGATTTAATACACAGGAAATACTCGAGAAGGCTTTGGGCGGATTGCGGCACAAACTGCAAGGTAGCAGGAGCAATTTGGCTGAAGCCGAACGATACCGGAAGCAGCAACTTCTGTTGGAGCGCGAATTGAGCAGAGTGAGGGTGTTGCTAGCTCACAATTCAAAGGTAAACAATTTTAGAAACATATCCGTTAACTACGCGTTTTTTTTCGTTCTTTCACATTTGAGCTACATGCGAATTCGTTTTTAAAAAAACGATATAAAATTAATTGGCGGAAAACAAAAATAAATTTGCATCAATTCAAATTTCATAATGCGGTTAATCGCTGCTTTTCATTTTTTTATTTTTTTCGACATTATAAACGTAATTAAAAGCGCATATATGAAAGCGTGCTTTATTATTATTATTGTTTTGCTGATAACAATTTTTTTTAAAAAGAGAGAGAATTAATCTCGTTTTTATGAAAATTAAATAAAATAAATTATATTTATAATAAATAAATCTCTCTCTCTTTTTTTTTTCTTTTTCAAGCTTTTTGATCTATTTTTTAATTTGTCTTTTAACCGTTTGCAATATAAATTTGCAGTCGCGAAGATAATGCATAGTGATATATTTACATAAAGAGAATCGATTGCATAATTATATTATTCCAATTAAATATTCAATTCATTGTTTCCAGGTAAAACCGATATTCTTCCAGGTAATTTGCATTATTTATAACACATTATTTATTTTCAGTTCCGCCGTTCGCTGTTTATTTGCCATTCTCGTCATGCAATGCGATTGCCTCGTTTATAATCACGCATTTTTATTCTGATAGCCTTGATAACGAATTTTACATGGTTTGCAGAAACTTGAGGAGACGGTAGCCGAAAATGCGAGGTTGGAGCAAGATTTAGTAGTACTGAGGCAAAAAGTGCAAGCGTCCAGAAGATATGCCGGTAATATCGCGAGAGACACTTCGAGCACGACCGCACCGCTGGAAGCGGAATTACGACGAATGCAGCAACTTGTCGGCGATCTGCAAAGACAAAGAAAGGAATTGAGCATTCAAGTTCGCCAACTGACAGAGAAATCTCACAGTTTGGTACAGCAAATTCGCCCGCAGCCTCTACATGGTGAATTTAAATGTAAATTAATACACGTTATCCTTAAAATTGTCAATACTTAAAAGCTATAAAATTTAATTATAATTAATCGTAAATTATCCTAATTAACAAATGTATATATAATATTTCAAAAAATGTATATGTACAGGGTATCCGGTAATAATCACCCATCGTGCTGAGAGAGCGAGTTAAACCGAGTCAAAAATAGTCTTTGGCGATTTTCACAATAATTAATTATATATTAATTTAAAAGAATCAGCCACACGATTTGCGTGCTTTTACTCGCGCGGATTAAATTAATATCTAATTAATTATTAACATTGAAAATCGCAAAATGGTGGAAAACTTTTTTTTACTCGATTTAACCCGCTCTATCTGCACACGATGGGTGAGGCGATTGTCGCACATATATATTATCTTTAATTTAGAAAACATTTGATATATTTTTCATTAACTTTTTAAATTTTATTAGGATATGCATTTTCCCAAAAATGTTTTTTTGTTAATTTAATAATATGATTAATTTAATAATATGTTTTTTTGTTAAATTAATAATATGATTAAAATGCATATTTTCTCTCAGCTTCTCAGATACATCATCCCAAGAAGCGTACACAAAATTCTTGGCTAGAGACCGACTTAGATTCCGGAATAACTTTGGATCACGGTTTAGACTCGCCATCAAGTCCATCTTTATCCATCTCACCTCCGAATAAGCAAAATGATAATTCTCAGCGATATGGGTCTCCCACGCAATACAAGGATTTATCTCCTTTAAATCGTCCGCAAAATCAACAATCTTTTGCACAATCCTCCCAAAATCATATATCGGCGCTTTCTCCGCAATTGCGTGAGCAGATTCAACAACATCAATTAAAGCAACAATTATTAAAAGATCAAATGCAGGGCAAAGGTAGCGCGATTCAAGTGGCACCTTTGTACGTTAATACAGATTCTAGAATAACAGGTAATATTCGTTAAGCGATATATAAATTTATGATATATTAATTGAAATAATATCTTAGCTATATCAAATATAAAATTATATGTTAAAATATATACATGCTTATAAATAATGTAAAAAAATGATTAGAATTACATAAGATAATTTTATTATAATATTAATAATTAATATTTATTTATTAATTTATCGCTTTTAAGGCGATTACGTTGCCGATACGAATAAGCATAACGGAAACATATTGAATGGCACGTCAAATTCTGCTCCGGAATATATCCCACCGCCGCCGCCGCCGCCACCTTTGAGCGAAGAGACATTATTGAACGATAATTATAAACAAAATGAAGACAACAAATTCGCCGGTAAGCCGTCTGTTTCGTCGCAGAAACCCTCAAACTTGTCACGGATCAAAATTTCATTCGCTCTGTTTCACGTTGGCAGGATTAATTCACAATCGCGAGAAGCAAGAGATCAAAACGGTGCGTATAGTAAAACGTGAATCGGAAAGGCGTCAAAGGGATCGTGGCGATAGAACCGGCAATATTGGGATTCCTCTGACAAACGGCCTTCAAGCACCAGGCGGCGCAAAGAGATTGTGCGACGATGATTTGGGAGGCTCCCAAAAATTCGAAGTAAGTCATTAATATAAACGAAAATAATATATTTCATTTATATAACTTATCTAACATATATCTTACTTTATCTTTATTTATACAATTTACGAATTAGAGTAATTGGAGCAATTAAATCTAATAAAAATATAAAAGAAAAAGAAACATTTTTTATTTGCCACGAGTATGCTAACGTAAGACTTTAAATATTTAGAAAGCTCAACTGGGCAAAGTAGTCGAAGAATCTCCATCGATTATTCACGCGCAAAGCACGGTTCAACTGTCTGAACTAGATGATGTTCAGTTCCAACGAAGCATGTCTTTGCCGCGCGGTTTCGGCGGACAAAAGCAGCACTCTGGGATACACTACGGGCCAGTGGTACCTCCACCACGCAGCGATAGCATGCACGCTCTCAAAAGTATGATGGCGCGACGACATAAAATTAGGGTAAGCTCCAAGCAGCAATTCAGATGCTTGAAAGATAACGCGATAGATGCAATTCCAGATCATCCTTTAGAGCTAAATTTTACTTCTCCACGTTTGATATTTGTTTTTTACGGATATGATTTTATTTCATCTCGCCTCCATTTTTGTTAATCCTGTTTAGTATTTTACATTTTTTTTTACGTTCAATCGCAGTTTGAAAATCACGACGGCAGTTCCGATAGCACTTTATCACCGTACACGGACAGCCCTACGTCCAGCTCTTATGTGCCGATGAGTTCACCCAACTATTCTACCGCATCGTCCTATAGCTCAAGTCAGAATCAAAATTATTCGCCGCAAGCGGCGATGGTCACCGCACAGTCTCATTATCACAACCATCCGTTCGGACCACTGTACAGGCAATATGACAAAACTGCGACTTTCGCGGATACCGTGAGCTCCGAATTAACATCGTCGACTAACATTGGCGTTCACGATGCGCGACCGGTTGTTGTCGCACCGACGGCGAATGCAAAGCAATCCGAATCGCCACAATTGTCACCGATATTCAAAAGCGAGGCTGCCAAACAAATTATTAAAGAAATGACGGAGAAAAAAGTGGAAGGACCGAGACGAAGACAAATACCGCGGGAGAAGAGACGGCACTATACTGTGTCTAGTAGTAAACCGGTGCTCGACTTGGAAGATACTTTCTCGAAGATGGTACTTTTTGTTTCATTCAGTTTCCATTCTTTCTTTCTCTTTCTCTCTCATTTCCCTATCTTTGTCTACCTGTATTTCGTTCTGTCATTTGTTCTCCACTTATTCATATTGTTATATCATACTCGCAGATTTGAAAACTGTGAACTTGTCTAACGAGATTTTTTGATAATTTTCAGGGCATGGGAAGAGCTAGAGATGATTTGGACATGGAAAGAGCGCTCAGACCCAGAATAAACGCTCCTGATGTGGTGCGATCAACGCTAAGTCACAAAGAGTTGAAGTATAATGAGAGTACCATAGATCAGCTATTAGGCACGCCCAACAAAATTGTTATTCCCGAGCGATATATTCCCGAACAGGTAATATTAATTTCTTTGAACTTGTGCACATATAAAAGATTATATTGTTAAAAATTTCTAATATTTATACTATATTTGTAATTACTATATTTACTAAAACTTGTTAATTTCTTTTAATTCAATACATACACATTAAAAATAAAAATTATTTGAGTCACATTTTATTTCTAATACAATTAGAAAAAAATAGACAATTAGAAAAATTGTAAAAGTATTGATGGAAATTTATAATTTTTCTTTGACATATATATAAATTAAATAAATTTAATTTTTCAGACATATTATTAATATATTACTATGTATTATTATATAATATTATATATTATTAATCTCTCTCTCTCTTTCAGACGCCGGAACTAACAGCGGAAGAACAGGAGCAGCGCTTAAAAAAGGCGGAAGCGATCAGAAAAATGCTTTCGGAAACGACCGTGACTGCACCGGAAGGAGGTGGTACGTAATATCTTTTTCTTACGATTATCTCTTTTTTAACATTGAAAATTTAACATTGAATCTTAATAAAACATATCTTTTTAATCTATTTCTATCAATTTCAGACGATGACTCTAACATAGAAAAATCAGATACATTGAAACGAAAAGTGGTGGAAGAAAAACGACAGAGGGAACATATTCTTCAACTTAATCAGATATTGGCGAAGCAAGTGATGGAGAAAAGTAAAATGGTAGCAGGTACGTTAATAATATATATTACATAATTTGATTTTTGCATGATTTTCGTATAATCGTTTATACGTAGAGCTATGGCAGCATGTTCATTTCATTTAGCTTTCAAGGAATAAAAGAGAATTTTTTTTATTTTTCAAGATCAACGCGATTGCCAAGTTTCCACGTTCTTTTATATCACGAATACAATAACTTTTTTTCTATTGTTTACAAAAATCATTTTTTTGAATATTGTTTATCAATTGGACGAATCAATTGAATCAATGTTTATTCAATGATTCGAGTAATTTACTTTATATTTTTTTCACAGACGCGGGCGCGCATGTTTTACTTGAGTTATGCTATATTTTGCGATATTTTAATAGCTTTTGTTCACACAACGAATATATAGTTTTGTCTTAGAGTGTTGTTTGGATTGTTTTGTGCTTGTGTATAGGTAACCAGGCACACTGACTGACATGCTTACTACATCCTCCTCTATAGGACACGCACGACATATTATCATTTTCAGGTTTGTTTATCACATTTTTCATTTTTGTTCATCTTTTTTCTTCTATTTTTTTGTCCTATCAAGCTATACAAATTAATCACAATTTGACATTTCTACAAATATACGTTTATTAGGCTGAAATTGGTATATTGCACAAATTTAAATAATTTATAGGAATAATAAAATGGTAAGAATAAAAATAGATAAAATAGCAAAATGTAACTTCACTTTTAATAAAGCTTTTAATAAAGCTTTAGTACTAATGAAATTTGCAGTACTAATTTTTTTAATTAATCCATCGCATCTTATTCATCAGTGAATGCTCTGGCAACGCTTCCTCTGAAAACTGAATCGAGCTTAGATGATGAAGATCTCTCGCCAGTGACTCCTTTACCACTTTACCAGCAAAGGGAAAACTATTACTCGTAAGCATCATTCCAAGAGCACAAGTAACACTACTGCCAACACAAAGAAGAAAGAGGAAAAAAAAGAAACATAAAGGAATCCCTTTCCAAGAATTTAATTCAGAAGCGTGCAAAACAGGAAATAATTATACAGCAAAAAGTGCTTTTTATTTGCAATTTGAGTGCAATTGTACATAATCAACGACTAAATAAAACGATAATAATAGCTATCATGTTTATTAATAAGGATTCGTAATAAAACAATTATACACGTATGAAGAAATGTTAATTAATTTAAAAGCAGACTGCGTGATCGAAAAAATTGTCGGTTATCAGACTGAATATCTCTCATAATTCTCTTAAACGCTAAATTTATCAGCGTTGCGATTTATTATCATTTTTTATCAATGACATTCAACATTAAATAAGCGTCACTTGTCGGATGAAAATAAAATTTTGTCCGCGTGACGAATTACCGGATAATTAATGTCCGGCTTTGGGAAACCTTTTATCGCGTCTCTTCGCAATCGAAAGTTCTTTTTCGAAAGTTTTCAAATCGATACGTATTTATAAGTATACAAGACTATTCTCGATTGAGAGAGAATCTGATTTGGATATCGTTATTCGTATATCTCGTTTTAAGTATGTACAATCATTTTCACAAACTTTTATATCGACACAAGCGAGCAAACTGCGACGAAATTGCGTACTATCACCAAAGCCTGAACGAAGTTAGTATCTTTAGATTTATAATGACACGCGATAGAGGCTCTTTATTTTAGCAAGGACGAATTTGAAAAAAAAAAGAACGAGTAACTATTAAAATGTCAAAAACGCTAAAATATCGAGCCTCTCCTAGATTTTATTCGCCGAGCTCGATGACAACGGCGCCCATCGCGAAAATTACCATGTAATTAGATTGTGTAATTAGATTATAAGGAATGCATGATATACATACGCTTTTAAAGCGCCCGTTATATATATACATATATATATATACACGATTTTTCACGGGTCATTGTAGCATGGCATATTAATGTTCAGAGCAGTCGTAACAGTCATAACGAGTGCCAAATTCCTCTTATAATGGCGAGCAACAACGAGCGATTGAACAATCGTCAATTAAAAAATCGTATCTATCGGAATCGATATGAGCGAAATATTGCAAGGATATCGATACGAAATGCGTTTGCTATAAAAATAAAATTCGCGACAAAAAAAATGATCGTTTGACGCACTTATATAATACTTTATCATCGTCATTAATTTTATCAATATACCATTCTCCTTAATTCGTATTTCATCGACGTTTCCAATCGAACTTGATCCCTTGGGCCTACATCTCATGGATTATCTCGTGGATTAACAAATGCAATTTTGGGACCCAAAGTTCGAAATATTTCAAAATATAAATATATAAAATGAAAGAGATTTTTCAAGAGCATTTTCTCAACTAATCTAAATTTCGAATTAATTATTAAACTGTCGAGAAGACATAAAAAAAAGTAGAAATTTATACATTTTGAAAATATATCCTTTCGAATATATATATATTTTTTTTTTCTTATTGTTAGAGAAAGAAATTATTTTTCAATCGTTGAGCGCGCGTGCGATAAAAAATTCGATACGAAATCAGTGACTGGGAAAAGACGGGGAAATCAATGCTGCGTAATTATATAGAAATAATAGAGACTGATTGAGACTGACCGAATGATCCACGGGATCTTGTCCGATGCTGCGGGGATGATTCTCGATTCTCCTCTATCGCCCTTCGACGCATCCTACGATTTGGCACGCGCGAATCGAAGACACTTAGCACAAGTTTTTATATAACGATAATCCAAGCGCGCGTTACACTAATGTCGTTGTATAGCACATACTTGCAACGTTGACGCGCATCTATTGTACATAATCGTGCACAATGTAACGCGATGCACTCCCAATAAAACTGAAAAAATACACTCTCCCTTTTGAAAACGCGACGCGCTTCGCCAAAGTTCACCATCGACTTTGAAAATTGCAGGTTGGTGACGATTATCGAATAACGACACTATCGATAATTGTCGCCATCTTGCGATACCGATGCAATCAAGTTGCGCGCGCATTTTGATTTCAAAAGGTTTCGTACCCCGTAAAGTCCTTCAAACGATACGTTATATCGCGTAGGACACTCAAGTATATTCATAAGCGATTGATACTATTGAGAAAGCGCTATGCGAAAATTAATCACGAGAGAAAAAACTGTTATTGTTATAATGATGAAATAAAAATAATACTGCAAAAGCGACGAAGCCATTTTTAATCCTTCGCGATCAAATAATTTCGATTAATTGAATTCAAAATTTAATAAAACATCTTTTCAAAACGTAAGTAAAAGTTAATGAGTATTTAATTAATAGTTTAGGTCAGTTGTACGATTTTGTTATCAGTAAAGATAACAGAAATTTCGCTCAAAAATGATGTTAATTTTAATCATTTCTATTTTTGTTTACTCCCTTTACTCGCCACCAAAATAATTATTATTGTCTTTCCGTGAATTATATTTTTCATTATTTTATTGCAAGTTTACAAACTTATATATTATTTGTTATAAACATGTTTCTTCTTGTAAAAGAAATAATATATTTAATGACATAAAAAAATACTGCAAAATATGAATAAATTTCCGGAATACATATATTTTGTGATTTTAAATAACAAAAAGTTTTATTAAAAAAACATGTTCTTTAATAAATATATATGTATCTATGCATATGAAGAGAGATCAAAGAGGTCAAAGAGGTTGGAAGTCATAGTTTGCTCGTAAAGATAGATCAGGCGACTAAGCACGAGACACGACGTGGAAAATGGCGCATATAATAAGATCCAAGCTTATGCTCTTGTCATTGAAATATACCAGTTGTGTCGCACCGCGTATTTTAGTACCCTTAAAACATCAGCGATTATGTTTTCACACCACCAGGATTCTCGACGGTATGACATTTATTCAGAAATAACAACTTTTTTCCTGTAATATCAATTTCGATTTGGAGGTTATCTCTTAAAAGATATAAATTTGATTGAAAGAATCTGTGAGAAATAAAAAGTTATCTCGTTCACAATGTAAATACAAAAAAGGAAGAATACAAAAAAAGATACATTTGTGATACAATAAATTAATAAAATAAATTTTTTGTAATGCTTGTTTCAAATAATTACATATTTTTGATTATGCAATCAAGATTTAATTTATATACATATCGTTAAAGATATCTGTTTCTATATTTTTACACTAATATATTGACAAGAGATATTTTCTTTCAGTGAAGGGAAAAGAATTATTAATGCCTTCCTTATCACCTACTATGGAAACTGGTACTATAGTAAAGTGGTTTAAAAAGGAAGGCGATAGTATTAATCCTGGCGATGCTATTGCGGATATTCAGACTGACAAAGCTATTGTCACAATGGAATTTGACGACGAAGGTGTATTAGCCAAAATAATTGTAAGTCGAACCATTAAATATAGTAATAAGTAAATCATGTTGAAAGAAATTGTATATAAAAAAAATTATTTGAAATGTATTATTTAGGTACCTGAAGGAACAAAGGATATCAAAGTAGGAACTCTAATTGCTCTCACTGTTGAAGCTGATGAAGATTGGAAGTCAGTGGAAGTGCCGGATAAGTCAGTGGAGCCAGCTCCAAAAATAGCAGCAGCTTCTGTTGAAAAAAGTCCAGCTGTTACAAAAGTTGAAGCACCACCACCTGGCCAGTATGATCCATTAACGAGCGCATTAATTATAAATTTCTTTAAAAAATAATGTTAAAGTATTAATGCTTATATTTTTAGTTAAGTAATCATGCTTATATATTTTTATGTGCTTGAAGGTCTTGCTCAAAGTTATAGCATCAAATTGCTATTGAATTATTCATCTGTTATTTTCAGGCAAAACATTCCTATGCCTGCCCTCTCACCGACCATGACAACAGGTACAATTATAAAATGGCTAAAGCAAGAAGGTGATGAGATACAACCGGGTGATGCATTAGCAGATATACAGACAGATAAAGCTGTTATGACTTTTGAATTAGAGGAAGAAGGTGTACTTGCAAAAATTCTTGTATGTATTAAACTTTTTTACATTATATGATATATAATTTTACATAGAATATGTTTACATTATTTGTTCTTTACACTATGTTTATTGCTATTTATTAGGTTCCAGAAGGATCTGAGGTACAAATAGGACAATTGATAGCTGTTACAGTTGAGAAAGGAATGGATTGGAAACAGGCTGTTATCCCAACATCGACAAAACCAGGCGCAGCTGTAGCACCAAGTTCTGCTCAACCAACTGCACCAATCGATGCAAAACCATCAAGTGGACAGTATGTATATTGTGTTTTCTTCATTATTTTATGTAAATCAATAATAAATCAGTTTTATTTATTCTTCTCTATCATTTTCAAATTTACAAACATAAAAAACTTTTATTTTGATGTATATTATAATCATCTTAATATATATTATATAGAGTATATGGTTTGGCGGTGAAAAGATTGTTAGAAGAATATAGTTTGAATTCTGATTCAATCAAAGGTACTGGACGTACAAATCGTTTATTGAAAAGCGATGTCCTTGAATATATTCAGGCGCATAGTATTCAAAAAGTTGCACCTAAATCCGGTAAATGTGACGCCACATTCTTAAATACTATCTTTTTTTGGAGTAGTTTTACTTTTATTTTATAAATATTTGTTTTGCAGTACCAGCTCCAAAGACTGATGAAGCACGTTCTCCTAGTCCAGCAAAAACGCCCGTTCCATCTGGTCAGCCGTCTCCGTACAAAGATATCGAAATATCCAACATTCGCGCCGTTATAGCCAAACGACTTAGCGAGGCAAAAGTATAATATTACGAACATTTGTAAACTCAACTCAATTATTTCATATTTAATTTAATTAAAGGAACTTTTTAAACTCTTTTCTTCCAGAGAACTATACCACATTCTTACGCTGTTATGGATATAACTATTGATAAATTGGTCGAGCTCCGTGGAAAACTAAAAACAGAGGATATAAATGTATCAGTTAATGACTTTATTACTAAGGCTGTCGCTCATGCGCTTGTCGAATGTCCCGATATAAATACATTGTATAAAAATGATCAAGTTAGTACGATTATTTCATTTAATACTGTAATATAATTGTGTAAAGATATATAATTTAATTGTCATATATAATTGTAATATATAATTTAATTGTAATATAAATAATCGATTCTTGTCAGATTATTCGAGTTCCAAAGGTAGATGTATGTGTAGCGGTCGCAACACCAACAGGACTTATTACACCAATAGTATTCGACACTGCCACTAAGAATTTAGCAGATATCTCTAAAAACATTCGAGAATTAGCCGAAAAAGCGAGAAAGGGACAGCTTAAACCGCATGAATTTCAAGGAGGAACATTCACGTAAGTCTCAACTAAAAATACATTTAAAAAATCGTAAAAAATACAGCAGTTTTTGTATTAATATACAAATTTTATTATGCAGAATTTCAAACTTGGGAATGTTTGGTATCAAGGAATTTTCAGCAATTATAAATCCTCCGCAAACTGCTATTCTTGCAGTAGGCTCGGGACGTGAAGAGCTGGGTAATTTTATTAAAAATATTTCGTGTACAGCATTTTTTTCTCTTATAACTAATAATATTTTTGTAACATCTTGCAGATTCTTCATTAACAAAGTTAACAAAAATGGCAGTACAACTATCTTATGATAGACGGGCGATTGACGAGGATCAAGCAGCTAATTTTCTAGCTGTTGTGAGAGCAATGTTGGAAGATCCAGCTTTTCTAGTAGCTGGTAAGACACAGGCATTGAGGTATAAACGTGATGCATATTAATTATTTTTAATAAAACAATCGAAAGTGTTTATTGCAAAAACAGCTTCTCTTGTTTGTAATGAGAGAATTAAATATAATTGTTTTTTATGTAACATTGTTAATGCGCTTTTTAAAAAATAGGGATTTTAATAAAAGGAAGAAGCTCAATATTAATTTGTATTAGTGCATAATGTATATAATTGTTGGCTGTTTTTGAAATAAACAAAAGAATTAGTCAACAACAGTTATTCTTTTCGGATATATTGTTAAATATAAAAAGCTCAATTTATACGAAAATGTATTTCAAATAATTTTATTTATTGCTGTTATCAAACTTTGTGAAATATCAAGGATATAATTTATATATTTATACTGCCAAAAAGAAAAATATTTATAGGACAGTCAATATTTTATGGACGTATTTACGTTTATAGTATTTGTTAATTAATAATAATTAAATTAAATATTAATTTCTCTTATTAAATTGTCAAAACATTTATTATTTTACAGTCCAACAACGATTAAATTACTTGAGATTAATATCAAAAAGTTTAAATAATAAAAAATAAAAATTTATTTTTTATTTTCTGCATTTAGATCTTTATTAATAAATTATTAGAGCATTATGTAAAAGATCCATCTTTTGTAAATATCTGCAAATTAATCTTACGAGATATAATATATGGAAATTATATAAATATGTACAAAATACGTTTTTTCAATATTAAAGAATATAAATATGCAATAAATATCTTTATTACATATAATTACATTAATATTGAAATATTTATATTCAAATGCTGAAAAAGTTTATTGGGGCTAAAGTATATGATTTCATTTGATTCATTTATTAATTTTATATATATAATTAAATGATTCACAGACACACATTTGTATATAGTATAATAAATCTCTCTCTGACGATTTAAATATAATTATTCGGGTAGTTTGAAGATGAATAAAAGACAAATTCAATCTTGTAAATAAAATATTTATTGCTTAGAATACCTGTGCTGTATTTTACCATATTGGTAAACATTAATCGTTTTCCTTAATACATAAAACAATACGATACGAATTTTGTACAAATATTTTTTTAATTTTTGTTATATAACATCATATTTTATTATAATTGATAATAATATTTTTTTGTATGTGCCTGTTGTATTAAAATTATTTGTTTGATAAGGCACAAATATTAGAATATTTTATAATAGGTCCTTCACATTTCATTAGCTTTTTAAATACTTTTCGAAATCTATGAGAATATGTATATATATTCTACAAAAAAAATATATATACATATATATTTTACGAAAATTAGAAAAACTTACATAAAAACGATGATGTATCTCTTATTGAAAATCGTGCAAACAATTATAATGTTATTTAATATTTGTTTATCAGTACATGTTATTTTTTAATGCTTCACAATCGACAAACAATGCTTGGCCGGCTTATATTATACAACATGTAGCAATTGTACTTTAAACTATTGTTTCCAAATTTGACATTTTCAATACATGATAATTTACAATATAATTTTTACGGTATGTGGTACAGAGCACAAAAAGTATAGTATGACTCAACTTTCTTGCTTATCACAGTCGTGTGATTTTATGTATACTTGACATTACTGCTCAAATTTTTATATCTTAAATATCTAAACATTCATTCTTTAGAATAATTTCATTACATACGTATGCATTGAATTTCAACTTTTTTTTAAATTTTAATTTATATACATACATACCAATTATAAAATAGCTATATGAATATTTGCTTGAGCAATATTTTGCACTCTTACATATAAAAGTTTTCAAAAAGAATATATATATATATTATAAAAGTGTACAGGTAAAATCTTACAAAAGTATATATGTATTTCAATAATCTTAAAAGAAAGCATTATACAGTTGCTGTGTGTCACATTTGATTCATAATACTTCATTTTAGACATTATTTACGTCATAATATTAAAAGGATTGTGCTCAATTCCATACTCAGCACTTTTAAAAATAGCTTTATACACAATAATGATTTCTTGACATATTCAATTATTTTTTTTTCTTTAAAAGAGCACAGATAAAGTTAATTTAATGTTTAATTTGTTGACAACAGAAACAATATAAATGATTCTAATATATTGTCTTCCTATACATATTTTTTAATATTTCTGTTTTCACAGTGATCTAAGTACAGTTTAAAAAAATTATAAAATTCTGATATGCATAAATATGTTTTTTATATGATCAATGTTATAAAAAAAGTATTTTAAATTATATATTACACTCATCTCTCCCGAAAAAGATATAAAAGCATTCTATTCACAATTGCTAACAACTAGAATATTTTGTTGCTTTTATTGTTTTGATATTGAATTTGCATAATAACATATAGTGCATTAGTATTATTAAAAGAAAAATACTTGAATAAAATCCTAAATTATAATAAATTGTATATATTGCACATAACAAGATAGGTGATTTATTTTACGTTATTTTAAGTTAAAATTGAAAATAAATTACCTCCATAAAGTATTTATATCCACATACTATTTTGCCACAATAATTATAATATAATTAAGTAAAACAGATCAAGAGAATAACTAATTGGATTCTTTCTTTCTGAAAATAAAATAATCTTAAAATGATTATCGAAAGTGCACTATATGCTTTGGTTACACAAACCAGCATAGTAGGGTAAACATAACGGGCAGTCATATAAGCTTAAAATTAATGATTAAAATATAATAATAATTGTGAAATACCTTTTTTTAGCCTTCAATATAAAGAGTAATGGAGCATGAGCCAGTATTATGAATTCGACAAATTGGAATTCTGTAGAAATATTTAATTGAATGCTTTCTGGAGAATTTTTTGCGCTGCACGAATCAATGGAGTAAGTGTAGATAATTCCGCACAGTTTTCTAGGAATGGATGTGAAAGTAATTCATCGGCGGTTGCCCTCTCATCTACTTCTACCGCAAGGCACCTCTCTAGAAAATTTTGGAACGTTGGACTGAGATTATCCCATCTTGGAATGGATGGTTTACCAATGGCAGCGATCAAATATAGTGCTCTTAATGGAGTTTCTTTCATGTAAGGTGGTTCTCCTTCTATCATTTCGATAGCCATTATGCCTAATGACCAGATATCCACTTTCTTGCCGTACTGTTTTCTCGTAACTACTTCTGGTGCCATCCAGTATGGAGTACCAACTACAGTCTGTCGTTTTTCATCACCATCGATATTAGCACAAAAACCAAAGTCGGTAACTTTCACCGCACCATTCATTCCCAATAGCACGTTGTCCGATTTAATATCCCTGTGAATAATACCTTTACTGTGCAGGAAGTTTATCGCTTTGAGGACTTCTCTGCAAACGGCTGCAATTTGAACTTCCTTCATCACAGTCTCCGTGACCACATCTGTAAGTGGTCCACCTTCCAGCAACTCCATAATTACCCAAAGATGTTCATCGACAAGATAGGCATCAAGGAAATTCACCAGATTTGGATGATGAAACTCTTTGAGAATTTTGATTTCGGTTAATATCAATTCCTTTTTCGGCTGCTTGGACAAATCTATATCCTTTATAGCTACTTTCTGATTGTTTTGTAGGTCGGTAGCTATGAACACAGTGCCAGAAGCACCCGCACCTACCTGCTTAATTCTTTCAAAGCGTAAATAAGGATCTCCGCATTGGCAGATAGCCCTAAGTTCCTCATATATTTGTTCCTTATTGAGTCTCATACCGATACACTCAGTTTTTCTACGCAGGATAGGACTCTCCTCGATTTCGCTCGACATGACATCTTTCTCCAATGATAAATCATCGTCTATCTGATACGTATTCAAGTCCTCTAGTATTTCAGTGAGCGTTTTATCCACCCGGTCGTTGCACTTGCGCGGCGCCGGTTTTGGCGGCGGTTTCGGTGGTTTGTTGACCTTTGGTGGCAACTCGGGTAACCTCTGCGCTTGATCGTCCGTCGACTGTCTCTCGGAGATCAAGACGTCATCGTCGGAGTCATTCGATCGATACTTCTTGGTCAGGATATTGTCGATCTCCTGTGACTCTTCCTCGATCAAGTCTTGCGTGACGAATGGCTTGAAGACCTCTTGATCTGGCGGCTTGCGCTTGATCGAATAGTTATAAAACTTGATCGCCTGGAGCGCGGCATCGGGATGCTCGTCCTGCTCCGACTTGGAGATCTGCGTGTTGAGCAAGCGTATCCACGGGTCCGGCAGACCTTCCAGCTGACCAGTCTCCGCATTCTTGCTCACGTGAAACTTGTGCGAGACGTTGGTTGGCAAACCAATCTCCGCGGCCACGGTGTCGACGGGACCGCTCCTCTTTTTCGAGAAGAACTTTGTGAGACTGAGACTCATCTTCGCGCTCACTCCTGCGGTCCTCTCCCGTGCTTATCTCGCGCTCGATTCTCGAGAATAAAAAAAGAAGGGAGAAGATACGGATGAATCGCGGGATCAAATTATGATAATACTCATGTAAATTAATCTCATATCGCTAACATAATCGTGAATTTTCACGCCCGATTTTTACGCCGGCAGACAGGACGAACATGTCACCAGTCACCAAACATGTGATGGCTCTAGTTGGTATCGCGAGAAGAATCGTTCTCGAGAAAAATCGATTACTCGTAGCGCGTTCGAGAGTTTGAATATTTGAATCATTGGCGTGTAAAAAGATACAGCTTATACCTTAAATATTTATAATAATTTTTATATAATATTTATTTATTTCATATATCACTTATATCATTTATTCACAGCGTGAATCCATTAAATTTGGCATGAATAATAAAAAAGTTTCTTTTACATTTAATTTCTTCGCGCATAATAAAACATATAAAGTTCTTTATTTTTTTATAAATATATATAGAAACGAGAATCGTTCGAATGTTGCATTATATTTGATAATAATAATTCGAATAAAGATTTTTCTTTTATGAAGGGGATTATATTTTGCGTATAATTTTATCTTACAAATTTATACTTTCTCTTTTTCCATCATTTTTATAATAAATAGGAAATAATGTCGGAAGTTTTTTAATTTACATACACTACTTAGACATTTTTGCAATTATATTTGCGTTCAAATTAACTTTTGATGAAAGTTAATTTTAAATTAATCATTACAGATGCATCTTAATTTCGAACGAGTATATTCCTTCGCCATAAATTTAATAGTGATTAAAAGGAAGAAAATTTGGACTCAACGTTTTGCGAATTCGTGTATTTTTTTAGTAAAAAAATTGTACTTTATATCGTTGCAGTCGCAGAAATAAAAGTGTATATATTACACAAAATTTGTTAGTCAGTATAGGACGTAATAAGTTCTCCTTCTCTATTCTTACCTTTTGGCCTATGTTAATCTGGATATTCTCTGACTCATACGCGATTCGCAATATGCAACGTAAAATAGGTCATTGGCGTATGTTTTCATCCGTCTCAGTCCTGTTCTTATCATAAATAGTGTTTAAATGAAATAATGGATAAAACACGTATCACACAAGATGAATCACGTCTATCACGTTTGTCTTCGTATTAAAATGCGTAAGCTAAAGAAAGCCGCCGAAAAATAAATTTTAAATCAAATATATTGCGAAATTATATATTATGAAAATATTTCTATATAAAGAGAGAAAAGAATTTTTTTTCACAGAAAAATAAAGGTAAATCATTGAATCTTAAAGGATGTAACCCTCCTATCTCTTCGATAATTATATTAATTTTGTATCTATTCTATATCTTTTTTTTTTCCGATAAATACGCGATTGTATTTAATTCGCACGTTTTGCATTAATTAATTCATATTGCTGGATTTTTGTATTAGGCACAAAGATCGATCTATATTCGTATAACTACGCAATCACGACATTGATACTTGAATAATATATTTCCTGATTTACATGTTTCCTGGAGTAAGAGAAGAAAAAAAATGTATAATGCATTTTCGACGTTGGAATTATCATAATTCCGACTTGATAATAATGTATAAAACTCTAGAAGTTAAATAATAAAAATAAAATTTTCTTTCTTTGATACCTTTTTGATATTTTAAATAAAATATGAAGCCGAGCTTTACAAGAATAATTTTTTTTATCTTTTTAAATAAATTTTAATAATTTTAAATAATTTTACTTTTTAATAAATTCTTTGATATGTATAAATTCTCCTTGAGAGCTCTTTTAAAAATATCTATTTAACTTAAAAACTATATATATATAGTTTTTAAGTTAAATAGATATTTTTAAAAGAGCTCTCAAGGAGAATTTATACATATCAAAGAATTTATTAAAAAGTAAAATTATTTAAAATTATTAAAATTTATTTAAAAAGATAAAGAAAATTATTCTTGTAAAGCTCGGCTTCATATTTTATTTAAAATATCTTCATATTTTAATTAATAACTTGGCTCATTTTATGTTATACTATTGCACAAGGAAACTTATCAATTCTTTACCAAGTAATTAAGATATACTTCGTGGATTTTCCTAGTTATTGTTTCAATTAATATATATATATATATATATATATATTAAAGAATTGATAAGTTTCCTTGTGCAATAGTATAACATAAAATGAGCCAAGTTATTTCAAGTCATACAAATTGGATACGCTATATTTTTCATTAATTGTTAAAATCTTCTCTTCGCTTTATCACTTATCACTGTTATTATAATCTTTATATTATTACATTCTAGAAGATAAAAAAGCATGCCAAGTGCACATTATTGTAATCAACAAGTCTCAATTTTTTTTACTTTCTTTTCATTCTTATTTTAGTTTATTCGTTATTTTATTTTCGAATGAAAATAAAGAAAAAATTAAATGAAAGGGAACTTATATCTTGAAATAATAAATACACAATGAACGTCTATTGTGAAATATAGTTCGTCGAAATATTTGACATAATTCAGCTACAATATTTCAGAATTTATTTATATGTTCGAAATAAATATTTAGATTCTTAAGTACATCTAAATAAAATTATAAAAAGGTTAGAGCCTATATCTCTATTTAAAAGCAGATATTTTAAATTACAAATTTAATAGGCTTTTAATATAATACTGTATTTTATACAATATTACGTGAATAAGTGAATAAATGAAAATGCATCAGAATTGAAAATAGATGACATGGTGATCGACCGCATCTCTAATTTATTTACGCATTATGCTTTTCGCACAATATCGTCACGATTCTGCAACTCTTGTTATATATTTCGCTTTGTTTTTTTAATTTATATTTTTTTACTTTTTTTCGAATCTATATAAATAAAACGAATTTTATCCATGAAAATTAAACATATCTCTTATTTTGTTTAATTCAGATGGAATAAAAAATAGTATTTTTAATATTTTAATTTTTAGTGTTTTAAAGAGACCATAATTCATACTTAAACGCAATATGTTTTAAATAAATCTTTTTTTTTTGCTTAAAGCCGATAAGTCTTAACTCTCTGCGCGACTAATTATCTTTCTCTTGCAAATGTGTACTCTTGTATCATTATTGATAATGACTTAATTAAAGAAATTAATGCTCGGTTGTATTCTTTCATCTTTATCTTTTTTGTTTATTTATGCTATTCATTAAACCTGTTCTTTCCAGATTGAAAATGAAAATATATGTTAAATATGAATATAGTAAAGTCATAATAGTATAAGCTAGTCATTGTTACATATGTGTTGATGACGCTATTGCGTTGGAAAAGAAAGAAATATAGTATCGAAAATCTGTAATCTCTACATATTATTAAAATATGTCGCTATTTAATATATGTCGTCATTTTCTTTGTAAACTCTTCTAGAAAAATCATAGAAATTGCGTCGATTCTTACGTATACACGTATATGCGTAGAGACCACGCCTTCATAAATATTTATCCATACATTTTTTGAAGAAACGTACGATAACTCGTGTTCTTATTAATAACAACACGCATGTTGTCTTCTTCGGTTATCGGAAACGCGCGATTATCAACATGTTTTTAATAGCCCGTTTCTCAAACACAAGCTTGTGCTCTGATGCAATTTTCCCTTCCCTTCGCTAATCGCGCGATACTGCCGTTGGTACGACATCCCCTTCTCATTCACGTAAAATCATTTCATTTTGCCCCCACTTATTGTTAAAAACCATCGACGAAGTCAGTGATTCGATTAGGAAGAAAAGAAGGAACGCGATTTTCTCCTTCCATCTATTGTCCCCTCTTTTACGCTTTGATGATAAATAAAATATTAACCGGTACTTAATTCGAGCACGCTGTATTGTGATCAAGCTACCGAATCAACAATCGGTGAGCGAACATTCTAGACAAGTAGAAAAAAATATTCTTGTTTTTCTAATCGACAACATTTAATTACTATAATAGTGTGTGCGATTCATCAAACTTTATAATAATAGTATTTTAGAAGACTCGAGCTTTTTCAGTTTGCGATCGTCCTCTCCATTTTTCTCATCGATACGTACGTGAAAACCAACGGTAGACGTGCTTATTTTATTTTTTAATTTCTTTCGGACAAGACCCTCCTTGCGAATATACGCGACAAAAGAATGCTCAGGACAGTATAAATAAACAATAACGATCGTATAGTCTCTGTTGATCCTCTTCCCACGCAGTTCGTTAGTTATTTCAGTCAACATGGTTCACCTGCGACGCAAGGTAAGCAATATACCTTTACAATTATATATATATATATATATATATATATATATATATATATATTTTTTTTTTTTTTTTTTTTTCCCTGAGCGAGATCGTTGCACGAGGAGTTTTTTTTCGGTAGCGCGTTTTATGTTTAAGTAAAAAAATCGAGGATCTAGAGTAAACGATATTTAACAAAAAATATGAATTTTGAAACGCAAAAAAAATTTTATTGCATTTTATTATCATTCGGACCGTATATTGCTTTTGTTATGAATATTTCGTAAAATGTAAAATTTAACACAAAAGCTTAAATGGTTATTTCTTCTTCGTCACTTCGTTAAATCTCGTTTTTTCGATTATGGATAATTACATATTTCAAATGATTGTAATTCGATATATTCTTCTTTTATATATATTTTTTCAACCTTTCTTCACTTTTCTTCAAATTTTTTTATAAATTTTATCTTGAAGTAAATTTGATATAAATTAGATTTTATAATGATTTATTTATTACATTTACAAATCATTAATAATAAAGGTCTGCGTATTGCGTCTTTGCAATTGTCACGCAGCATTACACGTGCTTCTCTTCGCGTCACGTGCTTTTAATTTCAATCAAACTTGAGCGCATTTAAATAAGACAATAAGTTTGTCTTATTTAAATTAATTAAACTTCTTTTATATGGTGGCTACGCATAGAATTAAGAATTAAATATATGTGTATATTCCCTTCGCCGTTTGTGTAAGTATGTTATAAAGATATACGAAAATGTGTGTGATAAAGTGTAAAAGGATTAAAAATAAAATGGCTAAACTAATAATTGCATAAAATAAACAATTCGACTTTGATTTAATAAAATTACGTTTATTCGCGCATGATTTTCACGTTGAAATATCATATGAATATAAATTTTACTTGTACTATTGACCTTTAGCGCTACACTTCCTTTAAGCATATATCAAGAACTTTCTATATGTAATGTCAATCATTGATTAACATCTTGCAGTTAACATCGCGCAAAAGATGCCTTTTCTATGGTTATTATACATTTTGCATATATATTAATGTGCTTCCATCTTTGCCATTAAATTTTTCTCAATCTTTTTCGTAATCATCAAATCGCTAATGAGATATAGACTGAAACGCTTATTACGAAATATATATCGTGTCAAAATGATAACGAAATAGGGTCAACATCCGTTGAGATAAACTCATTTGATAACAATTTAATCTAGTGAAACTAAATTCGTTAGAAATAGAAAAAAGAGTAGTTGAAAGACACTTGTATATTTTTATACAGCTATTCAAATATTAACTTAATTTATAATTAAAATGATTATCAAGTGATACTTGAAACATTTTATTAATAAGAATAAAATTGTTTACTTTTTCTTGTTCGATAAAACAATAAATTTTACTAGTTGAATTAATCGTCAACTTATGAATATTGTTTAGAATTTTTGATTTATCGAATATTGTTTATGCATTGTTTACTACAGATATAAATTAATATATTTATTGTTTACTATGTTTCTATATAGATTTTATCCTTTGGAAATCTTGTTAATCAACTGCAGAATGTGAGGTGGAGCTCTTCTTTAAAAACTAAAGACAGAAAGTCTGTACAATCGCAACGTTCTTTCAAGGTATTTATTTTTCGATAATAATAATTAAGCCGTTATATTATTTAGCATACATGAATGAAAATATCACTTTTATACGCTTGCAGTATGCAGACTTATCAGTCTGTCTAGCTGGCCCAGATCAATTAAATCCTAAACCTGATGTTAAGGAACTTTCATTTGGCAAATATTTTACCGATCACATACTTAAAATACATTATTATGAAAACATGAATGGTTGGCAAGCTCCAGAAATTATGCCTTTTGGAAATATAACTCTCCATCCAGCTGCAAAAGTATTACATTATGCTATAGAGGTACTTATGGTTTTATATTTTATTTTATTATAGCTATATTATTTTATTATAGCTAAAGTTAAAATAGATTTTTATTATAGCTATAAAGTTGAAAAAGATTTTTATTATAGCTATAAAGTAATAAAGATTTTTATTATAGCTATAAAGTTAAAAAAAGTAAAACAATATTTTTTAAGTATCATTCTCTTTTTAATATTTCTTTTATTTTAATAAAAAAATATTGTTTGATCTCATTAGTGAAAAAAAGAAATTGCCATTTATTTTTGTTTTACAATTGTACATAATGTATATAATATATATTATATATAATATTATATATAATGTATATATATATATATATATATATGTAATATTATATGTAATATTATATATATATATGTAATATTATGTATATATATGTTATATAATAATATATAATATTATATAATGTTATATAATATATATATATATATATATATATAAAATATTAAATAATATATATATGCATAATTCAATAGCTGTATACGTGCTTATAATCAATGATATCCTAATTTAATATTTGTTATTGTAATATTTGTTGATGTAATCTTTAGTAGAAAGCACAATTTATGAAATATAATTATTTCCTAAATTATATAAATAAAGCTGATAAACCTTCTTTTATCTGATAAAGTTATTATTAAGCTTCAATAAAGAATGAAATACATTTGAAATATTCTCAATCTTATCAAAAATATCTAAACTATCAAATCAAATAAAGACTATTATATTATTATCTCTGATACTCATAATCTAAAAAACATATTTGAAAATATATAAAATTAGGAAATTAGATTTATACGTATACTGATATTAGAAGAAAAACCTATATTATAGTTCAGTTTGCAATAGATATAATAATATATAAATCTTTCTTCAGATGTTTGAAGGTATGAAAGCTTATAGAGGTGTTGATGGTAAAATAAGATTGTTTAGGCCAGAACTAAATATGGAAAGAATGCTTCATTCAACATCGAGAATTGGTTTGCCTTCTTTCAGAAGTGAAGAATTAATTAAGTGCATTTGCAGATTGATTAGTATAGATCAAGAATGGGTGCCACATTCTACTACTTCTAGTCTTTATATTCGTCCTACGTTTATAGGGGTCGATGTAAGTACCATTTTTTATTATTATAATGCTCGAGAGAAGAAAGGAAGAACAATCGAAATACGTGTTCTTTATAGTATTTAAAATTTGCATTATAGTCATATTATAATCATAGGAATAATAATCGAATTACGTGTTTTGTTATAGTACTTAAAATTTAAATTTGCATTAGTCATAATCACATTATAATCATATTTTACAATATATCATGCAATGCATAATCGTTAAATCCCAAATGAATAATATCACTTATGTCACAGACGTCATCACGACATCTACAATATGTATACAAGAGTAAACATTAGGTATTTCTCAATGTCTAGTGATAATACTTGATAAATAAATCTTTTGTTTGCTTACATGTGTACATATGTATGAAATGATGCACGTTTCTATAATTGTGTTTTAATTTACTACAAATGCGTACACAAATTTGTTCTTTCTTTTCAATAGATTTAATATAGCAAGTGTAATTTTTATATATTAATAATTATCACATGTTTTAATTTTCGTTACAACTATATGCAGGTGAGACATAATAACTTTTTGTTATTGTTCTTTAAATATATCACGTGAATAACTATAACATTAACTTTACTCGCAAAATCTCTCTCGTTTAATTTTAACGTTCTGACTTCACATTCAGAGAAACTCCTTCTCTTTTCGTTATCTATCATAGACATAAAATTTTGTCTATGTTATCTGCTTTGTATTAATCACTTGCTGAAACGTGATATTTAATAAAATTGACGCTGATGCAGTCTTGTTCTAAATATAACAGCTAATGCAACAACTTTATATAAATATTATATAAGATATACAACAATAAAACACATCATAACTACATATTTATATATAAAATAATACATAAAAATATATGATCTTAAAAAAACAATAATTTGTAACGTTATATTTTTATATTTAAATATTTTAAAGAAATACATATTTTAGTAAAAACTTTTTATTATATTTATTATTATATAAATTATTTATTTATTTATTATATAAATTATTTATAATTTTGAATTTTTTTAAACATACGTATTTTATTTTCTTTTAACAGCCTACGCTTGGAGTTGTAGCCTCGGATTCAGCTTTATTATATGTTATCATGTCTCCTGTTGGATCTTACTTGAAAACCGCAAAGCAGCAAGGAATTTCCCTGTTTGCAGATCCTAAATTTACGAGAGCGTGGCCCGGTGGTTGCGGTAACTCTAAATTCGGCAGCAATTATGCACCTACGATTCAAGCGCAACAGGAAGCATGTGAAAAAGGGTTACATCAAGTACTTTGGCTCTTTGGAGAAAATCATGAACTCACAGAAATGGGCACTATGAATGTTTTTATAGTTTATATAAATGATAACGGAGGTAAAAATCATATCTTTGTAGTCATTAGCTTGTATTATAAAGTATATATTTAGAAAAACTGTTGACAAATTTTATTTTAACATTTAATTATTATAACATATTTTTTAATTTTTTACAGAGAGAGAATTACTCACACCGCCCTTGAGTGGTTTGATCTTACCCGGAGTTGTAAGAAATTCTCTTTTAAGTATGGCAAGAGAATGGAACCAATTTAGAGTTTCGGAAAAGTCTATCACCATGAAGGAAATTATACAATTACTTTCAGAGAACAGAGTAAGATTTGTGCATATGTATTGCGCAATGTGTCATTTTCTTTACACAATAATCTTATACCGTTCATCTAAATCAATTCTCTTTTTTTACACAGTTGTTGGAAATTTTCGGGGCAGGCACAGCAAACGTAATCAGTCCCGTATCTTGTATTGAATTTCTGGGACAATTGTTGCATATACCGACAATGGAGCAGCCCGAACCAATTTATCATATGCTCAAAAAACATTTACTGGATATACAGTACGGTGTTATACCTGAACATTCATGGAGTTTAATCATCGAATAAACTACAGAGTGTGTTAGCAAATATGTTTGCAGAATTATTTGATTTTTTCTAAATATTTTGAACATTATATTCATAAAACATGACATTTTTTTAATGATATGCAGAATGTGAGTTAGATTATAATATTTATTTATATTTGCGAGATATTATATAACGTGCGCACTTGTATATACTTGAAGGAAATCTTCTATAATTTGAATTTGTATTGCGTTTAGAATTTTTTTATTTAAATTATTATTGAAGAATTATAGAAGAATAACGTCTTTTTCTACAAGATAATTTCATGTAAATGTTATATATATAATGTCGTCGCAACACTGATATATAGACGCTGATATATAGACTGACATATAGAAATATATATTTATGTACAGATTTATATATTTTTGTGTATATATATCTTCAATATACATATGTTTTATATACATATGTTTATAATATAATTTTATTACGATGCACTATGTTAAGTAATATACCTCTTTCTTCTTTTTATAAGAATGATTTTAATAATATATTATATAAAGGATTGTATGTAAGATTTATTCTTATACATTACTATTGTGCATTAGAACAATTATAAAGTGCACGCTATTTAGTTCCTTTTATTATATATAATAAATATAATTCGAGAAAATATATATATATATAATTATTGTATGCGTATATATAAACATATATAATATATTAAATATATATGATACATGTATATAATTATATGCATATATGTGTATTTATGTAATATTTATACAAATATATATAAAAAAAGAAGAAGTTATTACAATATAATGGCAAATATTCCTTAAATATTAAATTGTATGTGAAATATTTAAATACCACTTCCACAGTCATTGACAAGATATGACAATTTAAATATCAAATTTTAATTCAATTGATTATATTTTAATTTAAACGATGTTGAAAAAATAGTTAGAATATGTAATATGCTTTATTAAAAATAAAAATATTCAGTGTAAAATATATATTTGACGTTATAGTTTTCACAATATTTAGTGCAAAATATATATTTGACGTTATAATTTTCACATTTTACTATATTTCATTATAATTAAAACAGAGCAAAATTAAAACCAATTAAATTCTAATTAAATAAAACTAACATTAAAAAAAATTCTGACATTCATATATAAAATATTTAAAGTGAAATTGGAATTCTGATTATCAAATATTAACTTGCCGACAGTCGTATAAAATTTATCGATAATGTACTACTTAAATTATACATTTCCAATGAGATGGCGCTCCAAGGATCATTGTCGAGTCGAGCGCAAAATGTGTTTCATAGCGTTCTTTTTACCGGCGTCCTAACGGTAGCGCCAGTCGCGCGCCTGGCGTCCTTACGGAGGTTTCGTATCCTTGTTGCGTCTCCGTAAACGATCGAAGAGAGTTCCGGGTCGCGGTTCCGGTTCCTGCAACGGAAACGAGTGAGGAACATCTCGAAAAACGATAAACGAACGTCGTCGGGAATCGCCATCGGCTGCTCCGTTGCTTTTATGGTCCACACGGACGTGAGCGAGGAGAAACAATAGCGGCGTCCGTTGACGCGTCTCCGAGAGGGTGAGTTTCTTCGCGCTTTTATCTCTATGTATTTGCACATATTTGCATACGCGCGCGCGAATGCGATTCTCTCGCATCTTATATATCTATTCTAAGCGCGAGGACGAATTTGAGGACCGTGAGATTTTGAGAAAGGCTGCCACAATTTTGGTTGGTAAACCGGCCAATATCAAGTATCGTGAAATTTGTTTCAATTTTTTTCTTGCGATTCGAGTTTAAATCGTCACGTTCTATGAAGTAGAATAGCTCGATTGAAGCCGCGCCAGTTGACAAGGAGAGCGCGTCGGGGTCGATTGTCAAAAGTGCATTGTTCGAAATCGTGCGGATGGCGGCTGCTTTTGGCGTCTCCTTTCGCGCTCGTCGAGCGATACGTTCGGACTCGAACAAATTGTTTTGCAAGATCGAATCCACGTGATCCCGACGACGTTATTACACCGAATCGAATAGAAACAATCGCGGATATATTGATTAATCACAAAGAAACGATTAATGAACATTAATATCGCGATTGCTCCGAAAATTTGAATTGATTAATGATGCGCTGTTTCTCTTTGTCAGATAAAATCTAATAATATATAAGATATAATAATAACTAATATAATAATATAATAATATAATATAATAATATTAACTATGTTACATTTTGGTATAATCAGAATTTTTAAGAAAAGAGAAGCAAATTCCTTCTCCTCTGGAAAGCCTTTCTTTTTCGAATTACATTCCAGCAAATAAATGATGATATTACTGCACTAGTCGTATTATAATTTTAAATGTTGTATTATTGCAAACTCTAATGTGATATAAGTAAAATTTATAAATTAAAATTTAAAATAATAATAAAAAAATAATAAATTAATATTGATAAAATAGAGAGTAGAGAGGATGAAATCAATTTAAATATAATTTAACGCGCGCATAATAATTTCTATTCAATTTTCTATTTTTAAACATAATTACGCTCGTTTTCATTCGGAATAAGTAGGTTTATCTGTAAAAAAACTTATCTTCTGCTCGCCATAAACGGGGCAATGATCCTGATCTTTCAATTTAATGATACACTTAAAGAGGCTCTCTCTCTCTCTCTCTCTCTTAAATCTATATATCTATATATATCTATAATAGAATATCGATATCTTTTCACTTAAATATCCTATATTATATTAATAATTTTCGATATTTTTTCCAAAGCGATATCGCGAAATTGATCGGAAATTTAAGCGGAAAAAACTATTATAAAATAATAAAACTACATGCAATTAAACATTTATTATATTTATATTTTATTTTATTGAATGTTAAATATTCATATTATTTATTGATAGAAATATACGTTCTACAAGGTAGAATAAAAATTGCAAATTTTGAGTTAAAAATTCAAGAATGAAAAAAAAAGCAGTCATATTTTTTCGAAATCGCATTTTCTCGTGCAAAGTGCATATCTATTATGCATAAAAAGTTTTCTGCAGTAAGTTGGAGCGACGACAGTCTAGCGTCACGATGGCCAGACGTAAACCGATCGATCGCGTGACACCGACCAGTCTATGAACTAGTAAATAGTCGGTGCATTAAATAGTAGTATGTGCATCTTCACGTTTTGCGTCTCATGCAGTGCCATGTTCATTTGTTATTTACATATTTTCATCACAAACTCTTTCGTACACTTGTCACAATAAAATTGTTATATGTATTAAATATATTTTATCTATATATTTCATTTCTACTATTTTAATTTTTATTGTCTCGCGATGCGATATATATATTTTCTTCGCATTATAAAATTTGTTAAAAATATGAGCAAAATTGTTTTTAATTCAGCTTTTCAAATATTTATCGCGATTTTAACGAACATTCACACGAATATTCTCTTTTCGTAAATTTAATCGCGGTCCTTATGCATTTCGATGATAGAGTGGCTCTGTGGTAAATGAAATTAAATTTGGTTGATCAGGGTAGCATGCTAAATCATTTAAGCGAGCATGCCCTGCAGGGCCTGACAACGAGCGACATTTCATAAATGGTTTGACGCACGCAAGACCATAAATCACTTTCCCGATGCATTATGCATCGAAATTTTATCGCGAGTAACTACTCTTGACGATCTATCACAGACAGATCAAATGAAAAATAAATTTTACGTATATTTAAAAAAAATGTAATGAATACGTTAGAAAAATCTCTGCATAAAAGATAATTCCTAGACGAGTTATGTTCGCATGTTGATCTTCCTGTATGCGTTTCCACGCTCTAGAGTGTCATGTTTCAAGGCAAGAGGATATCAATTTTCCGTACTAGATATCAGAATAAACAAGTTAGTTAATGGTTTCGGTAGAGTGCTCTAAAACATCCAAGAGAATCCTTGAAGGGAAGCATTATAGTCGGCTTGCAAGATTTTTCGATCCATCTGTATGTTGAGAGAAATCTTGTAAACATTTTAATATTGATTTTTAATAGCGATTTCGATAATTCGAAACGGTGTATACCACAAAATAAATTAGCATGAATCAAAATAGCGAACAAAGAGGAGAAATTGTTTGCTCTGTCATATGTGTGACAGCTGTTGAATAGCAATTGAATATGATTAGAGCACTGAATATCCCACGCGGGCTCAAGTTGAAAATTCGTCAAATGGCTGTCGCGTGTATCATGATATACTTTAACTCTTAAAGCTCTTCAGTAAACTCCTTATTTAAGTATTCTCGTTAAAGTTTCTGCGCGCGCGACTCCTTATTTAAAGAGTGCTTTCTCCGTTCTCGATTACAGGAGCAGAGAATGAGTCAAGCGGATCAAGATCAGGACAAAAGCATGGACAAGAAGGAGATCGCCGAGGAGGAGAGGGAGAAGATGCTGAACGCCGAGAACACGAAGCACACCGGTGCTGCACCTGCCCTCGATCTCGAGTCCGAGGAGCAGAAACCGAAGAAGAAGATACCGATCGGCGGCATCAAGATGCCCGGATTCTGTCGCACCAAGAGCAAGGAACCGTGCAAGGTACGTGACGTCATGTGATCTCATTGTCAGCTGTGATTTATCCGCGGCGAAAGGATCTATTCGAACGAGACGATGCGATTACGAAATTTCCAATTCCACGGGCCTCTCGTCCGCATTTTTGCGCCTGTCTCAAGGTACGTCACACTTGTATTAAATGCAGCAGGTGTGGAAAATGCAGCGTTAATAGAGCTATTGTTCAACGATCGTATCACTGTCCATATCTGCATCATCGATGAGTAATCGCACAATTGATTTTAAATCTACCAAGCGTTCGTGAAAGTTTACAAGAATGTCAGATACTAAGGCGCGTATAGGCATTTAAATTACGCGATGCGAAATTATAAATGATTTCAAAGAAGCTATATAAAAGCCTTTACAATTTCGAGGATACAAATATCTTGCAGGAAGTATTTACGCGAACCCGTTAATAATTTAACCGACTCGCGAATTTATCGGATTCGACATCAAGCATTTCCGCTTATTGTGTTGTTTGCCTAATGTCTAATCGATAGCAGGTGCAACGCTTGATACCATCAGGCTTAAATCGATGGGAGAAAAAAACGTTATGGATCTACATGTGATACCCCTTATTTTGCACGCTATGGGAGCTTTATTTTTTTTCCCCGAAGCGAATCACCTTATTGTCGCGAATAAAGCTCCATGGTAACGGTGGGGTAAAAACAATCGATGATGATCGCATCGTATGAATTATTTTCGAATATCTTGTATTTGAAGTATTTTAAATTTCGAAATTATATTTTCACCGAACGCGTGTCTCTGTATCCCAGATAAAATACGACCGCATATTTTAAACGAGCAAATTATAATGTATAAACAAATAAGAAAAATGTATATAAGCTCGTGTTTCTCCTCTCCGTTAATTTAAAATAGAAAGTCTCGTACTCGTAGAAAGTTCATACTCAAGAAAATGTAAATCTGTATTACTTCCTTTCATTGCGCACTTATTTTCGTATATACTCTGTTTCTTTATTTTCGCTATCGATATTCCTTCACCGTGAAACAGCTTTTTATGTATATAGCGCAATATTTCTATTTTAATCGAGCAAACATCTTGTCGGCGAAAAACAGAATTATGTACCGTTTATCGTCTTACGCGAATAATTACACTCTTACCTTGGAAATGGCGCGCGGTAATAATTATTATTTTTGTCGACAATATATATATATATAATATTGGAAGAGAAAACTCACTTTTTACGGTGACTAATGTAAGGTAAGATTACTTTCATGAATTATAAAATGACGAAAAAAATGTAAGAAAGATATATCATTCGTGATAACGTTGTCGAAAAGTAAGTCGAGCCAACATATTTTCGTAATCATTTTTTTTCTCTCTTTTTCTTTCTTCTCGTCGATGACTGAAACGACGATGACCATAAGAGAAGCTGGCGCTCGATGCCGTTGCACCCAACCGACTCTTCTTTAATTGACTTAATTCGCCTTATAAACCGTCTAATTGGGGAAGAAAGTGTCGGCTGTCACCTTACGAGGAACCATTCTATCATCATTTCGGCTCTTCTCGCCTCGGTTCACAGTTTCCTGTCTCTTTCGATTAATCCCTATCATCATCTTGTGACATTTATAGTCTAGATACATTTTTTTTCCAACATCTTACTCTTAATCCGATGATCTGTGGAACTTTATTATAAAGGGTGTTCCTAAATTCGCGATAATTATTTTAATGACAATTCCTTGTAACATTTTAAGACGAAAATTCTAATACGAAAATGTGGATTAAATGTCTTTAATAGTTTCCAAATGGAAAAAATTTAAAGATCACGAATTTTAATGAAATTCTTGAATATTTTCAATATCAAACCATTTATCACTTCTGAGCGCGAGACACTTTAATCCTGTCATTCGTGATTTTTAAACTTTCATTTGAAAGCTATTAAAAGTTATTATAGCCTCGATATTTTATTATTAGAATTTTCTTAAAATGTTACAAAGAATTTGTCATTAAAATATTTATCGCGAATTTAGGAATACTCATATATTTCCTTCTTTTTTCATTCTTATTTCAACGGAGCTAATCTTATAAATTTTCTTATTCTTCGCGTGTAAAATAAATGCAATAATAATAAAGAAGAGAAAATTGCAACAGCATTCAACAAATCGGATTAGCAATTGAAAATTTTATTGCAAGCATTGTTGCAAATATTATAATCGTCCAACATTCATCTCAAGATTCTTTTCTCAAATAATATTGATACATTTCTTCTTTCGACCCTCTTTGAAACGCGAGGAAGTGACAAAGGCACACAGTATCACAGATTGATTTTTATGCTGTGTCGAGCGGAAATATCGTTCTATACCGTTTCTCCTCCAAGTATTTCACGATCGCAGATGCTTGAACACGATAAAACTTGTGTCGCGTGTATTTTTGATGAGACCAGGCTCACCGGAATTTGCTGTAGCGTGAAATCTGCCTAAAGCCACGTAGAGAAAATGTGGAAAACTAGGGCGAGGAGGAAAGGCAATGTAGCGAAATGTCATTTTTCTTTTTAATGGCAAAAAGATGTAACATTATATACTTAAATGTTATATACATTTATCTAGTAATTTACTTTATCTCTTATATGTTTTATCTTTCACTTATTTTCTCTCTCCTTTTGTATAATAAAAGCGTCATTATATTATTTATTCATTATTGCTCCGAAAAATTATTTTGTCCGATTGTGTAATTAATTAATTAAATATATATAATTGTGTAATAAATTAATTAAATAATACGATAAATAAATCGATCGTTCCAAACTCCTACATCTTAAATAGAGTCTAAGAAAATAAACGCGAATTAATCATGGCCAAGCCATTGTGCAGCATTTCGCTGCAATATGCCGGTCTTAACAATCAATCTGTTACACTGTTCAATCTTCCCTCTATTGATAACGTTGTAAAGACAGCGCGATATTCATTCGGCGAGCTTTCTTTCAGGACGATTGACTCGGGGAACGAGTTCTCGGTCGCGTAGAATCGAGGTGAATATTATTCAACACCCGGAAGCTGCGTCATCCTGAATGAATAGAATAGTGTCGGTGCGTCTAAAATGAGTCATTACCAAAGAAAGCATTCGTATATAACCGCCGTGGTACATAATGCTGAACAAGATTCCCAGCACACATCGGGAGGTGAAATCGACAAGAGCTTATCCTCGAAGAGGATACGGAAAAGGGTTTGAAGAAGCGAAAATATTATTTTTAATTCTTCGTAATTCTTATTCCGGCCTCCTTTCGCTTCCCCTCTTTTGCTCGTAAATCGCGGAGATTTGTTGTACAAACGCGATCGTAATCGGGGGGGAAGCATTGATATATCGCTCGTCTTGTGGACACAGCTTTAAGCCATAATTATTTTTTTCCGATGATGAAGTGACGAAAAAAAAGGAAATAAAAGCTTCGTTGCTTGGATTGAGATTTGGCATGTATAAAACCCGTAAAAGAATTTTTAGAAGAGCCATTTTGGATCAAGAGCAGTTGTCGTTTTATTCATTAACATTATTTTGCCATTTGCGCTTTTGCTGAAACATGAAATTATAAATTATGCAATTTGATTGAAATTTTGATGTTAGAATTAACATCGTAATCTGTTTTGTACATTAATGCGTAATGTTTAATTTTCCTGTTACCAGAATAATCAAATATACGTACGTGCATTAATACTTGGACAATTTATAATTTATAAAACATACATATAATTTAATTTTATTATATATAATTTTATTTAAATTATATTATTATAATAATTTTTTAACTATAATAATTTTATTTTATTTAAATTATATTATTATATAATAATTTTTTAACTATAATAATTTTATTTTATTTAAATTAAGTATATTATTAAAATAAATAATATATCGTTTCACGTTGAAAGTGCACGGTTTTTTTAATTCATCCACTTAGAATTAACCTCGTTTCCACGTATTCGTGAAGCCTTAAATAAAACATCGAAATAAGCCGTTGAACACGATTATATTTTTCCAGAATAAAATTTCACAAAACTTTGAAGAGACCCATTATTTACGAACGATTTCTTATAACGAGTGTGTGTTCCCATGTTCGACCGATGCCCAGGTTTCGATCTATCGATCGAATTATCTATTGCGTGACAATTTCGAGAGAGGAAACGAAAAGTATAGGATTAGGAAGCCCAAAGTGTTGTTGTGTTTCACGTAATTGCTTTACATCAGCAACGATGCCGGACTTGCGGCAAGCCTTTATTTCTATACTATCTGCGCTCTGAATTATGACAGGTACAAATTACGTCTGCACCCGCGTCGTAATTTTCTTTTTTTACCGTTCAATTATTTCAGCCTGGAGACTTTAATCGTTTTAAAGAGGCTTTCTTGTAAAATAGTATTATAACGGTATTTAAATGTAGCATATCTCTCTCTTACTTTAACATTTATTAGTAATAAGTATGTATTTATAATAAAAAAACTTAATATTATTCAAATTTTTTAAATTACATTTGATGCATATAAATTAACGCTGAGATTTCTTATTCAAATCGTATCATAACAGTTTGATCGATTAATCATAGTTACTTTGCTGTTTACAAAAGCGAATCGACCGTTGCTCTTTTTATGTAACTTTTCTTTACATAGCTTACAGGCTTTATGTAGCCGTTTCAAAGTTAATGAAGGCTTGGACGTGAGTTTAATTAGCATTAACGTGCAAGGTGCAAACAACGTTTAACGTAGTTACTTGACACGCGAGAGGGAATAAACTTTTTGCTCTATCATTCGTTTACATTTTACACATGCGATTGTCACAGTTTATGATTTTATCGAAATTTCAGAGGCGGATCACCGGACGTTTATTTTATCGAAAATAACCGGAAAGAGCTATTTTCCGGCGAGATTGTTACCAATAAAATGAACATCCGTGACTGCATAAATTCTTGATGGGACACGAGAAATCCGCGGATTTTCTCGTCTCGCTTAATTAAAATCGTATATTACAACTACATCCTAATCC